AGCTTGTTTTTTTACGGTTATTAATTGTTTTTTAGTATTAATTTTTAATTTTTTTTATTAATAATTGTTTACTATTTTGTTTCTTTTTTGTGAATTTTAATTTAATTGTTACATATGCTTCATAGCGTAATAACATTTGTGCAATAACAATTCATAGTGTAACAACAATTGTGATCGGTGGAGTGCTCAAAATATTGTGTCATGCAACGTGCCATAAATGGCACGGGTGCCATTGGTTCGCCATCCCTGCTATACCAGTTATTTCGAGTTCTAAAAATCTGAATTTTTCAAGAAAAAGTGCAATTTCGTGTCTTAAAACTTTACATAAGTCATGGCTATTAACTACCAATTAACATTCATTATTTTCATTTACTGTTGGAAGGTAGCTTATCTTCGAAGTGGCCACCTTTTTTGAGTGAAAGGGCGACTTGCACAGCAGGTTCAGTATCAAAGAGCCGCACTTATATTTAATACGTTGGTGTCAAATATAATTTTTATTTAAACATTAGTGTTTTAAGTATTAATTTTTTTTATCAGTAAACTTGGAAGGAAATTAAATTCTTTTAATTATTGANATTTTTCAAGAATGATTTAAAAATGTTTTCGCAGAAAGATTGCCAGATTACAAAATATGAAAACAAAAGCGCAAATTGAGTGTAACAAGAGGGTTTTAAAGTGTCGTTCTTACTGCACTGTTGAAGTGATTCGTCTGAAAATATAAAATTCTGAATAATTATGGGACACCATGTTTTCTAATTTTTAGTTACCCCCTATACCAATTATTTCGAGTTCCAAAAATCGGAATCCTTCAAGAAAAAATGCAATTTCGTGTCTTTAAACTTTGCATAAGTCATGGCTATAAACTACCAATTAAAACTCATTATTTTCATTTACTGTTGGAAAATAGCTTATCATTGAAGTGCCCAACTTTTTTGAGTGAAAGGGCGACTTGTACAGCAGGTTCACTATCGAAGAGCCAGCCGCTCTTATATTTAATACGTTGGTTGCAAATATAATTTTTATTTAAACATTCGTGTTTTAAGTACAAATTTTTTTTATCAGTAGACTTGGCAGGAAATTAAATTCTTTGAAATCCATTAAAAAATGAAAAAACTAAGTTTTTTTTTCCAAATTTCTTTCTCTTTTTGCCAATAATTGATTTATTATACATATAGAGAGAGCACATTAAGAGAAAAATGAAGAAAATTATTAAGTTTATTTACAGCACATATACTGGAAGTAAATAAAACTCTTAAAATAAGTTAAAAATATAGAGAAAATAATAAAGATTAATATATGTATCAACACTGATATTCATATTTTTCACAATTTAAATAAACAAATAAAATCTCGTAGCGATATTTTTATTAAAAGGTTGATAACATTCAGTAGATAAATGCTTTTTACATAACACCTTTTAATTGCTCAAATTTCAGGCATTTTTTTAATTATTTAAAAAATGATTTTGCGCATAACATTTTTGGATTTCTATTTTCAGCTTTTTACTTGTTGTTTACCAAATTCGTCATGAATCAATATAAAGTTTTATAAAAAATAAAACATTTATAAAAAAAATCCTTTAATTTTCAAACGAATTTCGCTAAAATAAGGTGGTGACGAAAGGGTTGAAACTAGTTACAAGTTGTAAAAAGTTATTTAACTGAGATGATTTTCATTTTATCTAAGTCTGTTAATAGTAGCAAACTTTTATGGCCGATCAAAATTCCGACCACTTTCCTACTAGCTAGAGAGCTTAAGGAGTTCAACAGGAAGGTTCATCCCGAACTGTCAAAATGGAAAAAAAGGGTGGGGTCGAGCAGGTGTAGCAGTCAAAAGCTTAGAAAATAATCTTGTCCTTTTTCCAACGGGGAAACACATGAAGGGAAAGAGTGTGTTAAGGATAAAATTGAGGATTTTCATCTGCTTTGGAATACTAAAAAATTTAATGTTAAACAGCATCAATTAGTATCCGTTTAATTAGTTAATTCTATTTTATCGAGCTTGATAACGTGTTCAGCATAAAAAAAGTTAAGTGTCTTTGAAATAATTAACAATATTATTCGCTAATTCATTTATCATTTTTATTTCTAGTGTTTCTTTTGTCTTCTTCTCTTAAAAAATATTTGCATTGTTTAATCTTTTTTTCTTTCGCTTTTGAACATCGCGTGATTCTAAAGTTGAAACATATATATATAATACAAGAAATAAAATATAATACTGTGATAACATAGAAAATGTTTTAGCCTAAATTAATCATAGTTTAAAAAGAAATAAATACATTGATATTTAGTGTGAAAATATGCAGAATTTTATTTATTTAATTTTTGAGCTTTAAAATAAGCACAAAAAACTTGTAGTTTCAAGCAACGAGCTTAGACTTCATTTATTACTTCATTTAATAGTATATTTTTCATTCCCCACCGCATACTTAAACATATATTCTTCTGTACAAAATTATATTTTAACATTGCATAATAACACAATTAAATGTTGAAATGGTGTGTTGTATATCTAAATAAAATTTTATTTTATTGAAAGTGGTGATTTTTCAAAACTTTTGTTGTAATAAAAAGTTTTCTTAAAATAACATAAAATTCAATAGGCAAATAGGCAGCAGTAATGCAACTATACAGAGTTGAAATTTGGCATGCTGAACTGTCCATATTTGTTTAGGAACTTGACATCGATATTTTTCTATATTCTAATTTGTTCGAAAATTATTGCAATTTTAAGAGCTTCTTTTATGAATTTTTTACTATTTTTAAGTTTACGTTACATTTTGATTTGCTACATAAATTCAATAAGATTTAGAAACTTATAATTGTGAAGGAATGTAGAAAAAAGTACAGAGAGTACGAACGAATAAAATTAAAAAAGAAATTAAAATTAGACAATTAGTTCAAGAATTGTTAAACTTGTAGCTACCATTTTAATTAAATTTTTCAAAGTTAAAAAAAGCTACATAATAGTGAAATGTTACAGGATTTCTCTATATAAGAAAAAAAAACTATTTTAGTTATAAGCCTTTAGTTTTGAATAATAGTAGAGAATAATAATAGTAGAGAATAACATTTAGAAAGGACGGTAAATAATTATTCCAAGTAAATAACTGTAAAAAGGATTAAATAAATAATTTATAAGTTGAATTAACTTTTCGATATATTTTACCCTCAAAACTACTTTCTTAAAGCTTTTATTTTTTTCTATTTTTCATAATAAAATATGAAGAAAAAAAATGTGAATTTCAATTCATGCATTTAACTGCGCTACTCAGAAAACAATTTCTAATAGATTAAATGCTAATACAGGCATAAAAAATTGAATACCATTTAGTTTCATAGATATAATTAAAATTTATAAAAAAAACAGTTTTTATGTCTAATAATAATACATAACTTCATTAATACATTATATATCTTACAGTTTGCTTTAGAAATTTCAGTAATATTTACAAGACACATAAATAATTTTATTTCTTAAGAACTGACAGTTTTTCTTTTTTTGTGAATGAAGTAAATTTAAATCACTACAAACTGTTAAGATATTCAAAAAAATAAAAATTTATATCAAAAATTAAGAAAATGTGCTTTTACTAATGAACTAGAAAGGAAAAACAATTCAACTTTTGTGACACCTAAAACAGAACGAAAAAAAAAAAATTAAATGCATGCGCACGATAATAAAATTTTTTTCTCCTTTCTTAATTCACTATAAAACTTAGTTCTTCGAACATTTATTTAATTTATTTACACTTTTCTCAGTTAAAACAAAATAAATCACCATAATGTAAATAAAATTCTATTAAAAGACTTCTGATGTTTCTATACAATCTAGCACTCAGATCAGTCTGCTTAGGGACCGAGGGTGTGCGGTATTGGTCCTCGTGAAACTGTCCGTAAAGTGCTCGACTTCGCTTGCAGGTCGTTGGGCTACCGAAGCGGGGGTGCCATCCCCTCTGCAGAGAATCAAAATTGTGATGGAATGTCTTCGGATCATCCTCAAGGATGTTTCCCAGACCGTCACCAATAGCTCATAGTGCAGCTCTAGTGCGACATAAATGAACTACAACAACAACTATGCATCCTAGAGTTGATTTTCTTTACCTGTCACTTACCATATCTTTCCTCTAACGTCTTCAATGAGGAACTACTTTCTTTCTATTTAAAGAATTTCTCTCGCCATTTATCTGGAGCACTGTCGGTAACTATGGTTACGAAATTGAACTATTTCAGGAAGGAGTGTGGTGTAAACATTCAGAGCAACTTTTTACGGGGATCGGTTTGAGAAATATCAAAAATTCCCGTCTCTGATAAAGGTAGAATCTAAGGAATAATGAATAAGACTGAATCTAAGGAATCAAGTGCCCACCACGTGTTGTCCATAATGCGATGAAAAATGTATTAATAGGAAAAACGGCTGTTTTTTTAAAAAAAAATTATGAACTTTATTTTTAATGTACAATAAACAATCTAAAAACAATTCATTGTTTTAACTGACACGGCATGTATTCCACGTTGTTTTTTCTCTTCTCACGAAAACAGGTTCGACAGGAGTCCATAAGTCGCAATGTAAGCAACAAGCAACGTTATTCATTGCTTTGGTAGGAATGCAATAAGAGGTTGGAAGGTAGCTTATCTTCNTCATGGTGTTGCATTTTCTACAAACAGCAGTTTATATATATATATATATATGTGGAGGTTGGCGTCAGGTATAGCTGAAATAACTACGCTTTTGTAACAACAAATTTAATGAAAAAAATAACAACAATCGAAATAACACAACCGCTCCGTCTGAGCGTTTAGCTGGAATCTGATATAAGTGGGGTGGCGCTGCTGTAGTGGGGGTTGGATTCCCACATAAATAATAACAAAATTTAATGTTATTTAATTAAATTTATTTTATTAAATTAGAACTAAAAAATAATCATAACATTTTGAAAAAATGTGAATTATCATTGTTTTTCTTAATTTATTTTCAAAACATTCATTTTAAGGGAGCCCCTAATCATTGGGGGGCCCAGACGAATGAACATAAGAACTATTGTTCTGCGAATTGCTTAGCTGAGAACATTTATCATTGACTTCGTTCAAATGAGCAGTAGGACACGTGATATCGTAAGTAGAACAGTCTTGAAAAATGCTGTTGTTGAACTTACGACGCGCCAAGATGAAATTGTTCATTTCAGTGCCTTTCTGATCATCAGTAACCTCTTTTTTGTCTGTTATCACCAACCAATCATCTGTTAACTTTTCTTCATTCGAGTTTTGGAAGCTCGATTTGTCTGAATTAATGCTCAGAGATTTTTCAGGTTCGTCGGAAGTATTACTATTCGGAACGTTTCGTTCAGAACTATTCGTTCGTTGTATTAATTGAGTATTTTCTTCGTTCGTTGCATCTTTTCTCTCTGTGTCAGATAAATCTGACTCGGCGTCATCGATAGTTTGCGAAGGAGAAACTTCAACTACCGTGTATTTTGGACCAGAATACTGAGCAGGTTTATTGTCTGATCCATCAAATTTTCTCTCCAGAAAACCCTAAAATAAAAATAAAGTTTTAATCAAAATGCAAATGAGAGATTATTCATTCAGCAAGCAAAAGGGCCTTAACTTCTCTTGTAGTCAATGTTACAAGAAAAATTAAGTTAGAAATTATCGTTGTTATAAACTTTGAAACGTAAACGTTGAAATTAAGTTTGAAACTTGATCATTTTGTAAGCTAGAAAATTTTGCTAGATAAATACGAGAGTGAGTCAAAAAATAATAAGTTTTCTTTAGGGACAGTCGACAGAGATGTATATGAAAGATGAAAATGGAATGAGATATTTAAGATAAGATGTGAGTTTATTTTTCCACATGATGAACAACAAGTCAAATTTTCATTTTGTGAATGATAAAATTTTTTGTAAACCGATCATAAATTACCCTTTTTTGTTCTAAACATAACAAATAACAAGTTTTGCGGGTTCGAATCCCGTTGTAACCCTGGCTGTATTTTTTGTGATGTCCTTCTCTAAATTGTTCTATCTGTCCTTCTACTTGACAAAGGTTTATAAGCCTAAATTGAGCAAACAAGCCTGCAAATGTATGTAATTTCAATAAAGCAATAACAAATTTCGAAGCGTGTGAAGAGGCTTTGCCCTTTTCAAAAATACAAAAAGCAGAGCTTGTTACGAAATAGAACTGATTGAACCGCTTTCCTTGCTTCGGATATCCCCTTTCTTATAAGCAAACAGAACCATTGAAACGTAAACAATTGAGGGTTACCGCTTCATTCGCGTTGCTTTATAAGCTTCAAAAACTCTTACAGGAACAAATCAGGATTCTGCATTCGAAAGAAGCGTTGGTTCATTTGCCCCTTTCGCCGAGATTTTTTTTTTCTTTCGGAAAACAGGAAACAGACAGATGTTACTTTCAAGTGACGTCAGGACTTTATGACCGAGGTCCGTCCACCCAATAATTGCATAATGGTTTTTCGTTGCCGAGTGTGGTCTCGCATTGTCACCCAAACAACCTAGTGATCAGGTTACTTTTTCAAAATAGCCTCCTTCAATTTCGACAGGTTACAGCAATCTGCATATCATTGTTGTTTCAAACCTCCGATAAATCTAGCAAGAAAATTCCGGGATCAGACTTCGAGACTTGACTCCGTTGTACGCAATCACAACATCACCATCTGCTTAATTCCGGTAGTATGACACCCACCAGGGCCGGATTAAGTTTTCGCAGGGACCTAGGCCATTCAAATTTTTGGGGCCCTTAGGTTTAAAAAAAATTTCTCGTATATTTTTTATTTATTCAAATTTAAAAGTATTTATATATCTTTTCATTTAAGAAAGAATATTTAAAATTAAAATAAATAATAATAAATTAAATTTTACTTTATTTTATTAAATAAGAACTAAAAAACAATTATAACATTTTGAAAAATCATTATTTTTTTTAATTTTTTAAAATTTATTTTCAAAAAATCCATTTTAAGGGAGCCCCTAATCATTGGGGGGCCCAGGCCATGGCCTAATGGTTAATCCAGCCCTGACATCCACTAAAGTATAGCTGTTTATTGCGTTGCTGTTCTTTTTTCTGGGGAAAATCTATTTTAATATTCTTCCTCGTACATGAGGGCAAATCTGTGAACGAGAGAAATTTTGTGTTTTTGAGAACCAAGCGAATATCTGACGTGAATATTTGTTGTAAAGAATTTCCATCAGCGTCTCATTTAGTCGAGTATCTTAAAGTACGTATGGACTCACTCCTTCAGATTTGTCTTCTGTAGCCAAATCCTATAAAATAACGGAGACGTATAAAATAACGGAATCCTATAAAATAACGTTGAAAATAGGCCCACTATCCAGACTAAGACGAGTCTTGAATTCTATCGATAGTTGGCATTCTGTTTACTGACACTCTATGTCGTATAAAATCATATTTATGTATTTTAAACATGCAAAAGCTCTAATATATTATTCTATTTACCTAAGTATTTACTGAAGTTAATCATTCATGTTGGACATTTTGAATGATACTCATTAAAAGCAATGAATATTTTTGCATTGATTTACAAGTAATTTTTTTCTCTTATGCTTTAGTAAAACAAAATAGTTTTGACCCAATTGAGAGAATATGTCTATCGTAATATTACCTGATTGTCATAGACCCTTTTTCTGATAGATTTAACTATTGATGCTCGTAAAAGATCAACTGAGGACGGTATTTGTAAATCTCGATACGCCTCAAAACTCCCAATGGATTCTGATCTTGGCTTTTGATATCCTGAAAACAAAATTATTTTCAGATATGTTTCACATATTAAATTCACATATTAGATATTTTACACATGTTAAAAAAAAAAACATTTGGTAAAACGGTTGTGTAAAATATCCGTCAGCCATTTTCGGCAAAACCGAAAAATGACACCAAACAAAGCGATTTTTTTGACAACAATGGAAAAGTACAATCCATGAATAAGTAACAACCTTTTATTTGGCATATAGTTTTCTATCATTGGCGTAAAATCGTGTTTAGCGCCTTTCTTTGAAATTGCCGAAAATGATCAACCAAATTTTGCTGATTTGTGACACCTAATTTATAAAATCTTAACCAGTGTTTCTCAAACTGAGGGTCAGAACCCACCAGCAAATCATCAGTAAACTTTTGATGGGTCGCCACAGAGTATATTTGTGGATATTATATTGCCAGCGTATTTCATAGTATATTGAAAATTTTATAAATGTGTTAATACAAATTAATGAACATTACAAAGAAATTCATTATACATAATTAACCCTTTACGGTCATATGTTTATTCTGAGTCACCAACGCTTTTTTACAGTTCTAATCGTATGTTTCCTCTGAGCCACCACAGCAAAGATGTTAGCCACAGCTTAGTGGCAAACTAGATATATTGCGTCACTGTGTAGATGTAAAGAGTAAAGATTGTTTTGTGTATTCAAACAGAAAAACTAAAGGCGGAAGACGCCAAATTAATTATTTTTGAGACACATGTTCTAGAAAACCAGGGCTTCATATTGGAGACTGCTTTGAAAGATACCACACGATGGAGAACTATGAAATATAATTTTTACATAAAATAAAAACATATTGTGTTTCATATGTCTTAAGTTTAAAAAAGAATTAATAAATTTTATTTTTCCTTTTAATCTTGCATATTATATACTACTGTTCGTTCAACGAAAATTAATTCCGACCAGCATGACACCCATGTATAAACTTAATGCGATCGCAAAGGGTTAAAGTGTGCAAAGTAATTCGTGACATTTTATTTCAGTTTTTTTTTCCTGCAGGCTTGCAACATTGTATGCGTGAAATTAATATTAATTTCCATTATTAATTCATTAAAATACTTTTTTTAATTTTTCAAGTGGGTCCTTTACAAGAACATATGTTACAAAGTATTACTAATTTTTAAAAATAATTTAGAATAGTTCCACCACCATTTCCTTAATGTTCGTGATAATATTTCCAAAGACGAACTATTCATTTCTAAAACAATGCGAAGTGTATCACTTTGCTTTCTATAAAGTGGATCGGAGTATTGAAAAATTTGAGATGTTCTGATCCAATCTAATCTAACGAAACTTCAACCCAGATAGTTTTTTTAACTAAGTTTTATCAAACTAAGTTTTAAAGAAATAAAATAATAAAACTATTGAAACAAATAATAGAAATTATAGCTTAGTTTATTATTTTNACAATCGTACCCTGTTACAATTGACCCCACTCTCCCCTACTGGTCCGTGGATCAAATGGTACCGGGCCGCCTATTTTATTGTAACTGAAATGTAACTTCAGTATACCAAAATATATTTCTGATAAGGGCGCAATGTTGATGAAACATTGAACATTGAATTCGGTCTCTGAATTCTAAAAAAAAAAATTTCCATTTCAAGCGAGCTTTAACATTTCCATGGAGATAACTTCTATCAAATTATCCCTTACTCATTCCTATCATATATATATATTCATAGAAGAATTATAAAATAAAATAAATAGGATATTTTTTAATAAGAAAACGTTAAGGTTCTCTTCAGGACGCATTCCTTTACGATGGTAAATGCAGTATTTCGAAATAAAGAATAATTATCTTAAAATTCTTAAATAATTGTAATAAATAATAATTATTAATAATGATAATTATTAATAATAATTTATAATGAATAAATAAGATAATTATCCCAATTATATATGTACTTTCGTTGTCGCAGCCTAATACGCATTTCTTTGTACTATATAATTTCCTAAAGATTCTCATTAGAAATACCATATATTAAATTACATACATGATTTCATATGAATTGTATCAAACTAAGTTTTAAAGAAATAAAATAATAAAACTATTGAAACAAATAATAGAAATTATAGCTTAGTTTATTATTTTAGAAGTCATAGTTTTGAAATATCGATGCAAACAATACTTTCCCTTTAAATGTAGTGACGCAGAGAGAGCTTTAAGCTGCATAAAATCCAATCATAAGTGAAATTACAGAATAATGAATAAAATATCGATTTGGTTTCCACCATGATAATAATAAATACGAACTTATCATTATTTTTTGCAAACGCAGTATCCACCAAACATGCTGGTATTTCAAAATTTGTCATAAATGTCTATTATTTTATTCAATTCCGAAGCTGTAATTTCGAACATCGATAGAGGAAAGAGTTTTTATGGGAAATTGATTTGATCACGGAAAAAAAATTTTCTTTTTGTTTTAACATGTAATAAACTTAAATTACAATTTGTTTCCTCTTGATCTACAAACTATTTTATGCATTGCTATCCGGGTTGAATAAAAATCGCAATTTGAAAAATAAAAAAACTTTTTTTTTATAATTTAAAACCATTTTTTCTATTTAAATTAAATTCGTTCAATTTTATTTTATTTTACATTATCGAAGCAAATTGCATTAATAGTGTTCAATGCTATCTAAAAATATTATAACTAAAATTAAGTTTCTATCGGTTAAAGCTCTCAATATATTTTTAAGCTTAGAACATTTATGTTTAGTGAATTATGAGAGATTTTATGATTGTTAAATCTTAAAACAGTTTCGTTTAGCTCTTTTCTACGTTACAAAAAATTAGTAAAGTTCAAAAGCAGTAAACAGTTTAAGAAACCAACGTTCGAATTTTGCATGATATAATATTGTATTAAAAAAACAAGAAAGAAAGGAAAAAAAGCGATTGAAAAATAAATTTTATTGACGATGAAATCGGCACAACTAAAGCACATCAAAAGTGATGATTAAGTCGTTATATTATGACCTGGTTAAAAATATGAAGATTTTCAAAATCCCGTCAAAAAACTTAGAAAAAAAAAACAATAGAAAAATAAATACTTTGAAAAATGATACGTACTTAGGAGTATAGAAAAAGGAGTATAAGGCAAAGCATAGTTACGAGATAAACTTAGATATACTTACTTTGAGAAACGATATAGAAATAATACCTAGAGAAAGAGAACACTTAGAAGAAAGTACGATAATATTGACAAAAAAGCACGTCAAAAGGGATATCTATTAGCACAATACGAAACTCGTGAGTGGTTATTATGTATTGTATTAAAAAGATCGATATTTTAAGAAACACGTGGAAATCCGTTAATAACCTACTAAAACGCAATCGAGAAGTCACTTAAATTAACTATGAACTGGACACAAAGAAAGAGCTTTAAAAGTGATAACTGAAATTCGAAATTCACGTATCATAATTTTGTTTAAATGAAAAATATTGAGATTTTTAAAACTTTGGAAATTCGTTGCGATAATAACTGAAAAAAAAGCGATAAAAAACATACATTGATTTGGGTTTGGCTCGTTAAAAAATGTGCAGGTCAAAATTTCCAATATTTCTTATTCTCTAAAATAATTTTTTTTTATTGCATTCAGGTGCTGCCGCGGGCCGCTCCTGATTCGATAATCTCTCATAAAATGTGTAAAATTTCTTTTCAAATGATACAATGGATTTATCAATCATGCTTTTTCTTGTTTGAAAATTGTATTCACTCTTTTTGTGAAATCTCAGTCTACTTGTGTGGTTTAATTTCGAGTTAAAACATGTCAGCCCAAGCAACAGAGCTTAAAAATGGTCGTAACCTTAAAAAATTGGGTTCTTTTTAATTTTTTTATTTGGCTCATGTTTTTTCTCATGTCAACTGAGAATATTTGATAGAGGCCTGAAATTCTATAGAACTTCCCTTCTAAGATCTAGTAACACATGGAACAGATATTTCCACCTTTAAAGGGGAGAATTTCCCTCATTAAAGATAGTTGATTTTTTTTTCCTTCCCTTTTTTGTCTATCTTTTTAAATCATTACTCAATTAAAACTTGTAATAACACTCATATGAGTTTCCTAATCCCCTTCACAAAATTAGTACTACTTATATTTTTCTTGAAAAAAACAACATATTTCTCGGAGAAAATTTTGGTCGCAGAATGAGGATTCGAAAAACATAGATGTATTGAGTCTCCCTAATTTTTCCAAGTGAAATCCTCAATTGCCCTAGTCTCTGTTGTTATCTTGAGGTAGGTTATTTATCAAAACTGGTTGCCCCGAACCAGTATATTATAATTTTTATTGCATTTTTTCATCTGTGAAATATTATTTTTATGAGTATTTTTACATATATAATTTTTTTTAAAAAATGCGCGTCATAACCAATTTTTCAGTTAGTTGCCAAGTTCTTATTGACTATTAAAACTGATATTTTTTTCAGTATTTTTTTTTTAGCTAGGAGTTTTTGTGCCCTCATGTAACGATCTCGTGTNTTAAGTTAAGAATGAGGATTCGAAAAACATAGATGTATGTACAAACATTGAGTCTTCCTAATTTTTCCAAGTGAAATCGTCAACTGCCCTAGTCTCTGTTGTTATCTTGAGGTAGGTTTACTGGTTGCCCCGAACCAGTATATTATAATTTTTATTGCTTTTTTTCATTTGTGAAATATTATTTTTATGAGTATTTTTACATACATAAATTTTTTTAAAAAATGCGCGTCATAACCAATTTTTCAGTTAGTTGCCAAGTTCTTATTGACTATTAAAACTGATATTTTTTTCAGTATTTTTTTTTTAGCTAGGAGTTTTTGTGCCCTCATGTAACCATCTCGTGTTATAACATCCTTCTTCGCCAAGCCACGTGGCGAAACCTGTATTAACAATAAAAAAAAACAGTTGCCACATTACTACGAATAATTCTTTCAGTTATCCAATTCTTATTAAACTAAAGCATTGCTTTAGAAAATTTTAATATACTTTTAGCCATATGTAAATGTTTTCGGTATATTTGTGCACTCACAAAATAAAATAAAATGAGTGAAATGATATGAAATGGAACTCAGTACAATAAAAATATTAATAATTTTTAAGAAACTGCAACCGAATTGGAATTCCATGGACAAAGATATAAGTTAAAAAGTTCTTCAAACTAAAACGTTTGAAAAAGGCTGTTAGAATGCACTTGTAAACAAAACCGTGAGCCTTTCACACCCTTGCAATAGCCACAGCCACACCTTGATAATTACTTAACATTTACAAAGGAATTATCATTAAATGCTATTAATTGGGGGTAAATATAAGAATTCGACTCACCCATGAAATCTCGGAGACGGTTCAAAGCTTTTTCTTTATCACGTTGCACTTGATCTTCATAAATAGACTGTGAAGGAACACTGTGCAAATAATCATCGTTATTAACGCACATGTTTCCTATTAATTCAGCAGTTTCATCGACTTCAGATTCAGCATTCTCAATAAATTTTTCAATAGCACATTGCCTTTCTTCACAAAATTCATTTTCTTGAGCTCCATTATAACTTTCATTTAATGAAGATAGCTTTAAAAAGCGACAAATCGTGGACCGAATCTCGCTTCTCCAGAAGTCATGGGTAACTTTTTCGCTATCAGATAAACAGTTGCGATTTTGAGATTCAAAACCCATGGCGAGCATGTTCGCACCTTCAAAAATTGAAGCACCAGCACTTGTCATATAAATAGTTTTGTTTGTTGCTAAAAATTATAAGTGCCAAAGACCATGATCATAGGTTACTTTTCTGCTCTTAAGATCGCCTCTCGTACTACGTTTACTATATATTATATTCTTTGACTTCTATGCCACCGGAAATACACAACAATGCGTAAAATACATTCCCGATAAGGCCATTATTATCTGTCTAAGGAAAAAAGACTGGTCATAACCAGTTGACCAAACTAATTTAAGTAGGGGTGTAGGGTATAGAACGGACAAAATATCCCCTCTTTGAAATGTGCTATTTTGTTTTCAATATATTTTTTCTTCAAATTTTGTATTTTTGCTGGATTTTTATATCGTTTTGAAAGACGTATAATGTATATATCAAGATGGAAATGAGCAAAAAATGTTAAGAAAATTGTTTCAATGTGGTTTGTGTTCGGAAAAATTAAAACATCTAATTGCTACAAAGACTTATAAATAGTAATAAGAATTATTTTCCTCTTTTCCGTTTTATTTTCACCATTGCTATCAAGTAGAGCCCTGAAAGCTACTATATATCGAAATGAAACTTCATAGATATTTTTTTTCTATATCTGAATAAAGAACACGTGGTCAAAATTTGAGACATCTATATTTGTAGTCAACTTTTATTTAGCATAACTTTCAATAGGAGTAATTGTCCTCTAATTATTCTGATAATAAGAAAATATCGAACTGAAACTTTTTTTTAGTTTTTCTATTTATTTCATAGAGAACATATGGTCTAAGTTATAGCATTTTTATAAATTTTGCAAATTACTCTTTACGATTGATTCTTTTAATTTTTAGCTATCGCAGATACATCAGGAATATATACTTCGAATAAAAAGGTTTTGTACGTACACTGCGCGAAAAAAAAAATAGACTGACTTCACTGAATAACTTCTGATCTAATGATCGGGTGGTCACGTTCTAGAACTCAATCTTAATGTTTCAAAAGGGTGACTCAAATATGCTAATTAATTAGTGCAGAGGATACTTTAAGTTACTAACACGACTTTTTTTGAACTCGATTTCTCAGGAGCTATTTGACCGACTTCATTCAAATTTTGCTTTTGTAAAATTGCATTATTTAAAATTTAAAAAAATAGTATACAGTGTTATTCAAGACTGTCCGTTCTTTTACGTTGCTCACTGTACGGTAGTTAAAAAAAAAGGGAGAAAGAAAAAGTGAAATTATAATTGGATTTGCACGTGCGGATAGGATGAAATCTGATTCCAGGAATTAGCTGTTAAGCAGGCCAATTATAGACTTGGCAAGAAAGTAATTTCAAATTTTTAGATTGAAATAAAACTCTATGTTTTGTATACAAAAGATAAACATTAATTAGTCAAATATCTTCCATTCCGATCCATGAACTTTTGCCATCGTACTGGTAATTTCGCGATTGCGTGTTTATGGAACTTCTGTCCCTTGCCTTTATTTTACCATAAAACCAAACCAAAAGTGATTTGAGGTCATCGCTAATACGGAAATTTTTAACGTTTAAATAGTTTTGTTAACATCGATATAGAAAAAAATTCTATGGGTCGGAGCTATATGAGGAGATTGCGAATTCGCATGTTCCTCCACAACATTACGAAGCATCCCACATTTTTAGCAACACGTACGCAAGTACTGGAGTTTGGTCGGGAACTGATGTCATATCCCCCATATCGGATTATCATTTATTTCGAAGTTTACAAAACTCGGTGAGCATTTATGTAATAACGATGAATGGTAAACATTTATGTAATAACGATGAAAATAGTACACATTTATGTAATAAGGATTATCTCAAATTGCCCTCGGTAGAATTTTTCTCTGATAAGGACCATAAGTTATATAAGCGCGGGATTATGAAATTACCAGAAAAGTTCTTCGAATAGAATGGAAGATATTTAACTGTTTAAAATTCATTTTTGTATAATAAAAAAAAATTGAGTTTTATTTCACTCTAAAAAAATCGAAATTACTTTCTTGTCCATAGGTGTAGCGTGAGGGGGAGGGGCACACCTTTTGTTTTTAGAAAATTGTTTTGTCTATTTTAAATGTTATGCATGCATTTATGTATTCATACATTTATGCATACATACATAAAAAAAAGAAATATGCATGAATAAATAGAATTCAAATATATTGACAGTTTTCTAAAAAAAAATGTGTGTGCCCCTCTCACGCGACATCTATGTATCGTGACAACCCAAAAATTTGTATATTTGACGCTTGAAGTTAGGAAATCAGAAACCAAACCATAATTTCTCTGAATTAAAAAGTGGTGTCAGTAATGGAACCGTCTGAAGTTAGCACCCTGTAATGTTAATTTTATTGTTTTCGCATTTCGTCAGATCTCGAAAACTTACTAAGTGAATCGAAATATTTTTACACTCAATCTTAAAATTCATTCAGCCAAAAAAAAGAAAGAAAAAAAATTTAAAAGACCGTATTTTTAAAATTCGATTTCTCACAAACTGTTCAATTTTCTTTATTATTTTACGTTTAAAATTACACTCCTTAAAATGATATACAAATTGGCATACCATATAATAAAAAAGTTATAGTTAATTACCAGAAATTATTTTTTACTTGGAATTGTCTTAGGATAAGTGAATATTATAATTGTATGCAAGAATTTTTAGAAAAAAATTTTTTTTTTTTTTTTGCTTGAAAAGTCCTTCAGATGTAAAAAAAATGCGTAAAATGTGAAATTAACATGAAGTACCCCAAACTTTCAATCGCTTTCCTACTACCTAAACTATTGCGAACATATTTTCACGATTGCAAAACCCCATATTTAAAAATATCGTTTTCACTAATTAATTAGCATATTTTAAGTAAAACTTTCGAACAATTTAGATAAAATCCTGAGTAAAGCTTTTTCGCAACAGCCCATCGTGTGCCTGGAACGTTATGAAGGTTAAAGCTTTAAAATTTTATGACCAAAACGGTATGATTGTGGTAATGTGGCCACCATTGTTTTACTTCCCTGACAAGCTGGGTGTGTTTCAAGCCGCCACTGGGGATCGAACTTCTATCCATCATAATGCCTTATCCAAATAGCCATCACGGCTCAAGATTTAGTCCTAGTTCGTGAAAAACTAATCATTAGATCAAAAGTTATTCAAGATTTTCGCTTCTTTTTTATTGCGCAGGTTATATGTCCCTATATTTTGTTAACACTAATCTGTAAATTTTATTTAAATTTAAAAGAAAACTAGTGGCCACTAGATGGCAGTAGTAATTATGTGCATATACACAGATGATTTTGTAACAGAGAGCGTGAGAGTGCGCGCCAAGTAAGCCAGACAGGTAGAACGATATAACAACCTATTATAATAGTTCTGTAAATATAGTTCTTGTAAATAAATTATAAACATGTTAAAATAATCAAACTCTTACTTCCTTCCCCCCCCCACCCGAGCTACAAGACACCTGACATAGCCAACAATTTTTCGAAGTTAATTTGAAAAAAAAATTGAAAATTAATTTAAGCTACTGAATCAACAATTGTCAAAAAGTGTACATTTTTAACGTTTAAACTTTTATACATAAAAAATAATAAAATCCATCTTTCTTATATTATTTAACAAAAGGACGTTTGCGAACAAATAAAAAAATTAGCTTTAATGTTTCATGATTTCTTTTAATTTGTTATCCTTTTTTTTAAATTTTCTAAAAAGCAAATATTCTAATTAGCAAGAAATATAAGTTAACAACAGCCTTAAGATTTAAAAAACAAATTTCGCAATCAGTTCATGAATTGGAGTGAGTTTAATATGACACGTTACAAGTATTATTTGAATCGAATTTAAAGCACAGTTTAGAATTATTAAATTTTAAGGGGAGGGAGAAAGCTTCCCTTTTAGCCCCCTCAAATAAAGAACCATACCCCAAAAGAAAAAAATGAAAATTACAATTTTTAAGATTTATTATAAATAAGTTTCTCATCTAAAATACATTGACTCTAAAAGAATTATATTGTAGATCATTAACAACATTAATTTTTCCTCTTTAAAGATGCATATAAGACAAAACAATTCTCTTACCTCCTAAGCGTGCCATTTAATACAAGCGACAAATTCTAGAAAATGATTGTGCGCTTTTGATAGTCCAGCGACATTAGTCATTGCTCTAAATTTTCCAGTTCCAACTTACTTATCTCATTTTCATGCTTATCATTTGATAGTATACCTACTTCAGTAAAAATATATACCTATGAAAGCAGATAATACTAGATTCTCACTTTGGAGATAATTGTTTATGATATCAGATTTCTACAAATCCGATTAAATGACATTATAAAACTTATTAACGAAATCAACTTATTCTCTCCTGTTTTCAACTGTAAACATGTGCAGGAAAATTCTGCTTTCACATTTTTTTTAAATAATGTGTTATAATAATGCATGCAAAGTTACTAACTTAAAATGTGCCTTAACTTACTATTATAAGGTGTCTAAGCTTACCAACGAAATTAACTTATCCTTTCCTATCTTCTACCGTAAAAATATCCCACGGTGCAAAAAAATTTTTGCATTCTAATTTTCTATAAATAATGCGTTAAAACTAGCTTTCAAATTTACTAATGAAATAAACTTATCCTTTCTCCCATCTTCCACGGTAAAAATATCCCCTGGTGCCAGGGCCGGATTAACCTATAGGCACACTAGGTACGTGCCCGAGGCCTACGAAATTCAGGGGCCTACGAAAAACTTGGGAGAAAAAAATTTAAAAAAAAAATCAAACGTAGTGGAATCAGAAAAACAGTTTTGTTTTTCTGATTCCACTGCGTTTNTTATAATCAGCTTCTAAACTCTCTAAGAATTTAACTTACGCTCTTTTATCTTCTACTGTAAAAATATCCCATTGTATAGAAAAATTCCACATTCATATTTTCTATAAGTAATGTGCTAAAATTAGCTTCTAAACTTACTGACAAAATTAACTTATCATTTCCTGTTTTCTACTATAAAAATACCCCGTTTCGCAGTGAAATTTTACATTTATATTTTATAAAAAGAATATATTAAAATTAACTTCTAAATTTACGAAATTGACTTATCCTCTCTTCTACTGTAAAAATATCCCATTGTATAAGAAAACTCTTCATTCATATTTTCTATAAATAATTTGTTAAAATTAGCTTCTGAACTTACTGACAAAATTGACTTTTTTTTCCTGTTTTCTACTGTAAAAATACCCCGTTTTGCAGTTAAATTTTGCATTTATATTTTCTAAAAAGAATATGTTTAAATTAACTTCTAAATTTACGAAATTAACTTTTCTCTCCTGTCTTCTACTGTGAAAATATACCATTGTATAGAAAAAATCTACATTCATATTTTCTGTAAGTAATGTGCTAAAATTAGCTTCTAAACTTACTGACAAAATTAACTTTTTTCCTGTTTTAATTTTAAATTTTCTAAAAGGAATATATTAAAATTAACTTCTAAATTTACGAAATTAACTCATCCTCTCCTGTCTTCTACTGTAAAAATATCTCATTGTATAAGTAAAATCTGCATTCATATTTTCTATAAATAATGTGTTAAAATTAACTTCTAAATTTACTATGAATAATTTTTCTATAGACCCACGCTGAAAGAGAAAATTTTTAAGAGCTCTGGAAGGTCAATAGCGATGACCTTGCATACAAATTTGTTAATTGTTTTCAAGCATAAAAATACTTTAATTTGAAAATAAGCATATTAGATTTTCTTCTTAGAATATTATATTTTGTCCAAAAATATCTGCTTTTGCAGCTCAGCAGAAATTACTAAAAGAAATTACTATTATCACATGATTGAGAATGCGTAAATATTCACCTTGTAGTGAAGTGGCGGGAATTTATGCAGCTGTTAAGCGGTAAACAATACCATATTTCCCTCTTGTGTTACCGTTCTTTGGTATGTGATATCTCAAGTAGAATTTAGGAATGGCGTACATTAATGTATTTTTATTAAAGATTAAAAAAATTTCCTTATCAAGTGAAATTGATTTGATTCACATATATAAATCGAGTCAACAATACAACAAAGAATAAAGATGATGAATACTACAAGTGAGAGAGAGAGAGAGAAAGTTTATATAAGCTATTTTTATCATTTTTTTCCCCCGATCAACATAATCACTTCAGAACTGTCCTTGACAAAATGCCATCCGATGTTTCAAGTTCGAAAAAAAAATTTAATTGTTTTTTTTCTTCTTTTCTTTTTAAGTTTATTTTAATATTTAATCGAAGTACAGCGAGTTTATTTATTTGATTTAGAGGACATATGTTAAATATTTTATAATCGATCGAAATAGAAAGTGTAAGAAGCACTTATACTAAACAGAGGAATAATTTTTTTGTTGTTGCTATGCAGTTGAATGTGAATCGACCAAATTAATTATGATTTATTTGGTCGCGAGTAAAAGAGTTCATATTCAACGTATTGGTTATTAATTTATTTTCGCAATTTTTTTCTTGATTTTTGAGATAATTAAGCCATTGTCAAGTTATCTTACCAAGCTCTATCTAGAAAAATCAAAACTGTAAACCATTTACTGTGTTAAAAAAAAAAAAAAAAACATTGAAGACAGATGCGGTTTTGCAAAACACGCACCGATTTAACCCGAATTTCTTAGACAAGAAATGTACAATAAAAATTACAAAAAATCTTTTTAAATACATTTAAAAATTGTAACAATTTTGCAAAAAAATGTTTTTATTATTTTTAAATTTTTACATGTTTCAGCAGTTCTTCTTTTAATTTTAACCAATTGCAAGAGTTTTTTTTATATATTTACTTTTTAATCTTCTTTTTCTTCTTTGCTGACTCGACAGCCCTTTGTGGGCCAAAGACTTCTTTAGAAACTTTTTTTTTATTATTCTACTCTCTTTCTGGCCAGGGTATATTCCAGTTGTTGAGTCTCAGTACTTTATAATTCCCATTAGTTCAGTTAAACCATCTTAGTTCAATTCCTCTGATTCGTGTTCAAATCGATGCAAAATTAAAGATTCTGGATGTTAAGATTGATAGGTTCTTTCGGCGGATGTGTGCAGCAGATTTGATGTGGTTTATTTTAATGAGGCAAAACTCATCCTATTATCCCACTCTTTTTTGAAATTTAAATAGAAACACTTCCACTATAAGAACTATGGACGATGTAACTAAGCCAATAAAAAGCAATATCAAAGAACCGGCAACATCTTCCACTCTTAACGGTGCTAACTTTTTATTTTTGCGAAAATGAGTTTTGTCTTTTTCCATAGTTTTATATATCTCATCATTAATCAACTTTTCCATAATGCCAGCGTTCATGAGCCTAACTATCATTTCATCTAGCATAGATTTGCAGCAAAAGCCTTTTCTTACTGCAATGGCGATGTTGCAAGAAACAAGTTTATCGTCTGATATGAATATATCCTTTGGCCCTGAAAAAAATACTCGCAAAAAACTCAAGTGACCAATGATAGCAGTGTTAGGTTGAAGGTGTTTCGTATTAATGTTCCATTTTCGAAAATACCACCTATTTTTTGAAATCACTTCCCCAAGTTTTCGAAAGTGATCAGTTTCAGACTGCATCATCAACCCCACGTGCGAGCTGCCATGTGGTGAAAAAACTTTGTAAGTTCCATCCTCCACGACTCTGGAAAGTTCTTGGAACGTTCTGATCGGTTTTTGCTCCAAAGGAATTGCTAAGAATGCCAATAAAACAGCTGAATAACTCGTAGAAACAATTGTACCAAATATAAACCATGTGGTGAGCAAGATCTTACCTCTCGAGTAATAAGAATTTATACGGATAGGTTGCCTCAAAACGTTTCCGAATAGCTGAAAATAAACCTTTTCAAAAGAGATTTTAGTGTTGGTAAACTGTATGAAAAATAACGGCATGAGAAACATTGAAAAAATACACCAAATCCATGTTTGGGTTTGAAATGGAGATATGTAGGCCAAGATTTGGGGCAAATCTTTTTTACGACGTACTGCAAAGGTAGTGTCGTCTATGTAGTAAGGTAGGGTAAAATCAGCAGCTAATTCCCTTTGCTTTGTTATTGAGAGAGCGCTAAGAGCTATGTCAGCTTCACCTGTCTGTAAAAGATGCATAAGTCCAGTCCAGTTTCCTGCTTTATTTAAACGACCAGCTTCACCATCTTTAGCTAGAATTACAGAATAATTAACACCCAATGCATCCATAAGAATATCTAAATATCGACCTTCCACCCCTAAAAACTGAACACCATCTTTAGAATCGTTCCTCATTTCGAAGATATGAGGTATCAACAATGCTGCTACTGTTAAAGTTCTAGGAAATTCCATTTAGGCAAATTTTACTTTTAGATGATAGGAAGTATCAGCAATGCTGCTACAGTTAGAGCTCTAGGAAATTCTATTTGGGTAAATAGCACTTTTAGATAATGTGTTGCAATGCTGCTACTACAGTGATTGTTCTAGGAAATTCCATTTAGGCAAATTTTACTTTCAGATGATATGAAGTATCAGCAATGCTGCTACAGTTAGAGCTCTAGGAAATTCTATTTGGGTAAATAGCACTTTTAGATGATGCGTTGCAATGCTGCTACTACAAAGATTGTTCTAGGAAATTCCATTTAAGATAATCATACTTTTAGATGATATGAAGTATTAGCAATGCTGCCACAGTTAATATTCTAGGATATTCCATTTAAGTCAATCGTACTATAAGATGGTATGAAGTAACATCAATCAGCAATGCTGCTACAGTTAATGTTCAAGGAAATTCCATTTAGGTTAATCGTACTTTTAGATTATAGCAAGTATCACCAATTCTGCTATAGTTAAATTTCTAGGAAATTTCATTTAGGTAAAGTGTACTTTTTTATTAGTAAGTAAACTTGACGGAACTAAAGCAAAATGTCAGTCTGCCATTAGCTGCAAAAGTATCTGTGAAGGAAATTTTTCATTTGTTTGCAAATAAAAAGAATATTTCACGTGATATATAAGTTTGGTATAAGAATAAATGATAGAACAAAAAAAGACTCAGTCATTTTTTACGAGATCCAATGCTAAATAATATATTCCCTTTTAGAAATAGTTTATGGGATTGAAAACCTATGTTTAACAAAAAATTAGAGGCAAAATTCAGGAAAATACAACCCCCTGGCGTGATGACAGTGATTATTTCACAGAAGTTGAAAAAAATTCAGTTCGCATGCTTAGAAAAGTAATAAGACCATAATTTAAAATTTATGTTTAGTTGAAATGTTTTTCAATCATAGCACAAAACGAAGTCAAGCAATAATTTGACCAAAGACTAAAAATCAATAACGGATAACATGTTCGCTTTAACATAATTGGAAATTAAAGTGCTATTCTGTACCTGATTGACGTTGAATGACGTCCTTGTTTACAAAATTTTGGTTATTTTTCATAAAATTCGTGATCAATCAATTGGATTTTATATAGTTAACTTAACAAGTTAATTAAAAATGGACTTCATTATCCATTCGATTTTTATAACCTTATTAGAATTAATTAATGTATGTAAAGGATTTAAAAGGAAATTGGATACAAAGTTCGTTGCGTTGTTTTCTATATTCTGGAACAAAAATTTTATAAAAATTATTCAAGGGCTAAATTTATGGAGAAATTTCCTATTTATTTTTTTTTTCCTAATGGCCAATTACGCCCTTCGCCACAAGAGATACTGGAAGTGTTGGTCATTTAAATTACCTGGTGGGCACCTGCTAACCTGAGTCACGAATGCGAATGATATTACCCACATCTTACTGTCACATATACGCGTTCATAAGGTAGGCCACATTCACACACACTACACAAAAGAGGACATCCATGCCCCGAACGGTATTCGAACCCGTGACCATTTGCTTTGTAATCAGGCACACTGACCGTTCGGCCACAAGACCAGCCTTTCTAGGTTAATTTTATAAAAATTTCACTGAATTCTTTATAGAATTCATGGCGAAAAAATTATATGAAAATGCGTTAACTTACCCAATAAGTTAATTAAAAGTGAACTTCTTCATTTTCTTTACAAGTCATAACTTTATTAATAATAATTAATGCGTGTAAATGTAAGGGTAAAATAATTTGGAGTACGAATGTTCAAGTTTCGTACATTCTACATTCAGATATAAAATTGTTTTGCTAAAAAAATGGGAAATTGGATTATAATCTGATTTTTGAATTTTGTCAAATAGAAGGGTAAGCGCTGCTGTCGCTATTTTGGTTGTTCAACTTTACGTTAAATTTTGTTTTGCAGTGCGAAAACTATATGACTCAAAAACTTAAAATTACAATGTAGTGTAGAAAAATGTACAGAAAGTATGATGGAAAAAATTAACACTCGATGATTCTTAACTGTTAAATTTTGAGTAAAAAATGCCGTGCAGACCGCTCTGCAGGGTGCAGAAATACAGCTACGGGTTGAAATTCGACGTGCTGATAGGGCCATTTTTCATAAACTTAACATGAGTTTTTATTTATTTATTTATTTTTCGAGATTTCGATTTGTTCAGAGTTATAATAATATTAAATTCTCCTTTCATTTGTTTTCAAAAATTTTTCCTTTCTTTGTTTGCTTTACGTTACATTTTGTTTTACATCTCAAAAATTATAAGACTTGAAATAACGAATTGGTGTAGAAAAAAGTACAAGGAGGACGATAGTATTAAAAAAAATTAACATTTAGTAATTAATTCAAAGATTATTAATTTTTAAGCTTGGAATAAATGTTACCAAAAGAGTCTCTCAGCATCCTGGAAAAATACAACTACAGAGTTCCAATTTGACGTGATCAAAGAGTCATATTTATTTGCGAACTTATCGAAAATTCCACTTTGTTTGAAAGTTATTGCAAAATGTTATATATAATGTTGCAACGTATAAATGTTGCAATTTCTAGGAGAGCTATGGTACTTCATTAGGATTAAAATTACATGGGAACACATGCCCAGTAATGTCGTCATACGCTGCTAGGAGCTCTTCCCTATTATTTAAAGAACCTTTTCATTTCAAACACTCTATAACGCCTCACAGCTTCCCTATTACGATCTGTTCAGAAGCATATGAATAAACAATTCAAAATACGAAAAGGCTCCCAGCGTGCTGTTGAACTAAGCATAATAGGAGAAGCTTACGACGTCATTTCCTTGCATGGGCTTTTATGCAATTTTAATCCTAATAATGAGCCCTAACTCCCTTAAAAGTTTTTGCAACTGTTATAGGACCTCCTGTTATATACAACGTTTCTAAACTTGTATATTTCGAAAAAAAGTAGATTAAAAATTTTATTATAAAAAAATGTGTGCGGCTTTAAAAGCAAAACTAACTTTAGATGTGAAATACCTACACCAGAATTAGGCAAGATCAAGTATTTGTATAAAGGCAACAATATTTGTTTTTATTTAGTAAAATATAGCATTAAGATATAAGCAAAATAAGAATAATTTGTGCTATGAAATTTAAAAAAAATTCTTTATATAAAATACAATTGTACGCTTTTGAAAGTGTACCCATTAGAGCTATATAAGCTAGAGATAAATTTCAATTTGCATTTTTTGTGAGTTATAAAAGCAATGGGATTTTTGATTAGGAAAAGAGGTTCAAAAACTTGAACCTTGTCTTTTCGGCTAATTAATAAAAATATTATAGTACACTTTATTTAGTTCATTAAAGCAATTAAATTTTTCGTCTTTTTTTCCAAATAGGAAGGGAAAAAAACGGATAAAAATTATCGTAACTGTAGAACCTTTTGTAAATTAGGTAACGGTATTTCAGTTGGTCACTATAATCAGTAAATATTATATTTAAAAATATCAAACATTTCGAAAAATTCTCCAGTTTTCGTCGTATTTCAAACAAGTTATTTTATAGTATTAAAATAAATTCAAGTTAACATTAAACGACTATCTGAATAAAATATGAAGAAAAAAAAATCATTAAATAAATTGATATATTTATGAATTCCAAAATTTAAACATTACACGAATTGCATAAATTACACAAAAATTATGTTAGGGACTAACCATAGAAAATAGTAGTTTTTTTTGTAAATTATCAATGTGTAAAATAAAAGTATAAATACGCTCCTCATAATAAGAATAAAAATAGTACTTAGGTAATATCACTTTATAATATAATGATGAAATCATCATTATCCGAAATAATATTCGGGTTATAAAATCATTTCATAGCAAAAATATTTTTAAGATTAAAAGTAAGACTAAGCTAGTCAATATAATATTATATTATAATATTATCACTACTTAAAATAATACTAAGGCAACAGAATCATTATATATAAAATAAAATTATTATATATTAAAAATGATACTCGGGTGATAGATTCACTTTATAATAATATTATTATTATTGTTAAATAAAAACGTAGCAAAATAATACTCAGGTAATAAACTTACCTCAAGCGCACCTTTTCATATTCTTTTAGATTATAACACCTATCAAACAAATTGATGTGGGTGCTTTTTTTATTTATTTAGAATTTAAATCCCGAGTCACGAGTTTTTATCGAATTAGTATGCAATCCAGTAGATGTGGATTTTATTGTTCGTATTCTTTCTGAATTCATTTTCCCAATATAGACAAGTTCCACGAGTTTTTATGTTAAACAATTTTTTAATGATCCCACATTAGAAACTTGCTTACCGTGAAAATAACTTTCTGAGATAACAAGTTTAAAAGTAGTTACGATTCTGGAATAACAAACATCAGTGTTTATTATTACAGATAAATGTTTACATTTGTTTGTATATTTAACCTTGTAATTCAAGGAGTTAATATACAAAAATGTTATCAGTTACAAGCATTTTTTGTTTATTAGTAACCTATGGCCTATTTTTGAAGTAATTTATAGATTACTGAAAAACATTTATCACACATCGATATTTAAAAATCTTTGTTTAGTCGTGAAAATATATTTGACTTTCTTTTCTTTCCGATTTTGATATTTTTGAGAAATGAAATACTACTTTAAAAGCAGGATTATTTTAACCACACAAAAGGCTCCTTTCACCCACTTCTGTAATTGCTTCTCATTCATAGCTTTCACTTCTGTAGTTGCTTCCATTCATAGTATCCACTTCTGTAGTTGCTTCTCACTCATAGTTTTCACTTCTGTAATTGCTTCTCTTCCATAGTTTTCACTTCTGTAATTGCTTTTCTTCCATGGTTTTCACTTCTGTAGTTGCTTCTCATTCATAGTTTTCACTTCTGTAATTGCTTCTCTTCCATAGTTTTCAATTCTGTAGTTGCTTCTCATTCATAGTTTTCACTTCTGTAGTTGCTTCTCATTCATAGTTTTCACTTCTGTAGTTGTTTTTCATTCGTAGTTGACTCCCTTAAAAGTTAATAAAAAAAACATCAACTTAATTCATATGCGTGCTTTCAGCCACCCCTTCCCCCTAGAATTGAATAACTTCCATTTACAGCCATTGAAAAAATTAAAAATCATATAAGATAATAAATTTTGAAAAATTTCGATATTTTTGTTTTTTGCAATGGAAATTAGAAGGAATTGATTTTAACTATTTACTTTATTTTTATCGAATGGTTCTAACTGATATCATTCAGAAAAGTTAAAATATCCCCTTAAAATATAAATTAATTAAAAACTTGTTGGAAAAGAATCTTGATTAGTTCAGTTTTTAGAACTTAAATTTTAGAAAACGTTGTTAGAAAAAAAAAGTTTTAATAAATTAGACAATGATATGTTCGAGTTTGTTTTAAATCTTAAAATATCGGATATCTACAGAACCAATTCATTGTAAGATTTACAATCATAAATAGCCTCAAACAAAGAATTTCTAGACCTGCAGATATAGGACTTTCTCCGGTGTAAAAGTGAAGTAAAAAAAGTGCTTTCTTCTTCCAATTCAGAATTTTAGTTTAGTACACACGCACACAAGCCTACAATAATGGAAGAGACACTTTTAGTTTTCGATATTTTTTTAAATTTCCCAAGAAATATTTAAAAGATTATTGTAACTGTATAGGTGTTTAGTTCATTTTCAGACTTAGCAATAGATTTAAAGCTTTCAGTGGTTTGCGAAAATTACAATAAATTACGAAACAAAACAAGAATTTTTGAACACCCTATGGCCAAAAATCAAGCAAAAAACTTGTATGGATTATTTTAGTTGTTATTTTTAATAACTGCTTAAAGCTTCGTAAACTTTGAGTAAATATTTATGGAAATATGGACATTTTTAGAAAAAATTAATATTTTTGTCTTACTTTTTTTGCTATAACTTCATAAATATTTAATGGAATAAAACAAAATTTTTGGAGAATTTGAGATTAATTGCAAAACTGTTGATTTAAAATTTCAGAAAAATTCTTTAAAAACTGCGCAATATATGAGTATTTAAGCTAGTTCTCTTAAACTGTGCACGCGCAGAAAAAATTCAAATTTTTTTTTCGTAATTTTGTAGGAAATCGCATTTGGCAACTAATGATAAAAGCTTTATTTGAATATCTTAAAAAGTTTCAAGCAATACTACAAAATTATGAAAAACAATTTTTTAATTTTTCAAGCGCATGCGCAGTATGAAAGAACTAGCTTAAATAGCTATAACTATAACTTGCGCAGTTTTTCACGAATTTTTTTAAAGTTTTAAATCCACAATTTTGTAAATAAAAGTTAAATTGCTCCGGAATTTTTTTTTAATTCCATTGAATATCTGTAAGTTATAATGAAAAAAACGTGAGGCGAAAAAATTTATTTTTTATAAAAATGTCCGTATCTTTATAAATGTTTTCTCTAGGCTTACGAAACCTGAAGCAGTAATTAAAAATAACTTATGTATTCTATATAAATTAAAAGTTTATTGCTTGATTTTCTGGCATTGTTCAAAAAACTTCTTTTCTTTCGCAATTTATTATATGTCTCTTAAATCTTCGAAAGCTTTACATTTTATTGCTATTTATGAAATATCGCATGAACTGAACATCTCTAAAGTTACAAAATAAACCTTTAAGTATTTCTTGAGAAATTTTTAAAAAAATGTCAAAAACTGAGAATGTCTCTCCAATTATTGTAAGGTAGCGTATACATACATATATGTTTATCAATCGTTCTGAAATTTATTTGCAATAGCTTTTATTAAACTATTATTAAAGTTGGAAACTGTTTTTAAAATTTAATAAATTTATCTTTCATTAAATAAAACATTACACCTTATTAGGTATAAAGAATACTTCAAATTTATTTCTTCAGAAAAAGCTAACTATATTTGCGTGTTTAGGAAAACGGACGAAACATTTTATTCCATTTTTTAAACTCCTTTTAAGAATATTCCTTTTTTAATATATATATACATAAATTTTCTATCAGCTCTTTACTTCTAATAAGTTGTTTGCAGAGGTTACATCTGAGCTAAAGAGTAACCACTTTCTGAACAACAAAATCAAGTTCTGAGACTTTCAGAATGAAATTCTAAATATTATAGATATTTTTTTTACGTCATTTAATAAAAAAAATTACTTACATATTTATAAGCCCTAAAAATCTATAATAAATAAAATTTTATTTTCAGAAGTAAAATTGTTAATTTCTTCAACCCTAATTTGTTACTAGCTTCATACTTCAAAGTTTCCAGATGTTAAACAAAGTGAATAAAAATTATAATTTGTCAATAATTCATTATTGATTACATTAAAACAAAAAGAAAAGATTTAAACTGATTTCAAAAATGTTGATTACCTTAATGCTTTAAGATATTAAAGTAAAAGGTTTAATATAAAGGTGGAAACAAAATTAGAGTAATGAAAATGGCATTAATAAGAAAAATAAATCGTAGCATAAGTTTTAATGCCTAATAAAATATTAAAACATTTGATTCAGAAGATTACACTAGTGGTTTGCAAGAGATTTTATATACATATTTGACAGATCTTAGAAACTTACGTATCCCTGAATTCAAATCTGCAATAGATTTCTCTTTCTAAGTAAGATTTCTTTTAAATGACATTTTTATTCTGTATTTCGTCAAAATTTACAAGTTTAAAAACGTTATACATAACAAGGGGTTGCATAAATGCTGCAAATAACTTCTTGGGGAAATAGGGCACACCAGGATTAAAATTGCATAAGTACCCATGCTTGGAAACGTCAACGTACGCTGCTATGGCCCTTTCCAATTGTGATTAGTTTAGAAAAATTGAAGGAAACAAAAAAGTTTATAACAGGAAAGAGGTATATGACTACATTTCCGGGTAAGTGCCCTATCTCCCCCAGAAGTTTGTGACCCAGTACCATATAGCATATTTAAACCAGTACATTTTGACTAAAATATCCCTTTTAAAAAATATCTGTAGCCTAAGAGCAAAATTAATTTTAGATTTAAGAGCTCCACATCCGATTTAGGCAAGATCAAGTTTTGTATAAATGCAATAAAAGATTTATTTCACAGTAAATCACTATTACTGGAAAAAATTTCCACAGTTGGTAATAAATTTCTCCCCGAGAATTCCAAATTGCATAGAAAGTGGCCAACCTGAGCTATCTTTAAAGATTATTTAGAACTAATTAACATATTTTTCTGATAAAATGTTTTCTCCTTATTAGAATCAAAAATGATAAACGGAACAAAAATGAATAATATTTCACGTACCCTAATTGAGCTACAGGGTTGAAATTTTTTACCAGGAATGAAATAACTCCTTGTAAATCTATTCCCCTTGCAGCTGAAGAAAAATAATTGCGTCGAAAATCAGTACATCCGACGTTTCACTAATGCAAGGAGCGCAATTTGTCAAAACTAATAGAAATTAAGAGATTCTATTAGTTTTGACAAATTTAGAAGATGCTATTAAATAGTTGAAAGATAGATTGCACTACAATACAACAAATATACTGTTAGTCATGAAATCTTTATCTCCATTAAACCCATGGGCCACAACAAGTAGTTGCGCTCCACTTTTCGTTAATTATTATAGCATAAATATAATATTAAAATATATATTTAATTATTTTCAAAACTTAGTCTAATATATAATCATTTAATAATCAAATCTAGAAACAATTTTTTAAGTATAATCTAATAAACAATGCCGTGCAATCGAAAAATCAATGTTAGAAACAAAAAATTCACAAATGAGATTTTTATATATTTTGATTTTTTTGTATCAGCTACTTACTGCAAAAGATTTTTTTAAAAATTATATTTTGTTTTATCAGTTTTTTTTAAATTCTATTTTAGCCAACCTCTACAATAGAAAATAGTTGCCAAGTCACTTTCCTCGAAATCTACCGTGAGGCACTAAGTTTGTTTTTTTTTCCTCTCAAAAGTATATTCATTGAGCTGTCAGAGCGTTGGCCTTCCAATGAGGTGAACCACGTTCGAATACCAGAGACTGCTGGTCTATATGAATTTTGCACCCGGCCACAGTGCCTTGCCGTCAGACTAGCCATGAGATATTTTCCTCTCCACGCAATGCAAATACAGGTTAGTTCCATAAAAAAGCTACCTACAAAGGCAAATTTCCCCCAATACTTGATCCCGGAGTTCCCTTGTCTTCTGGATTGAGTTCAAACTTAAGAGGCTATGGAGTAGAGTATTAGCAGTAGAAAACCCAAAATTTTGTTTCCCGTTCAACAATGGTTATAAAAATAAAATATGTAGTATACACAAAAATAGAATAAAATAAAAAAATTTTTAATTTTTTTGGTAAATATTCAATTTAGGAGTTAACTTAGCACAATTAATATGTTATAAGACAATCTGTGTTACAGAATGGCACTAATTTACAAATATATTCTGTTTTGAAATTTCAGCCCAAAAAATTTGAGTGACATTACTCTTAAGAATTATTTTTGCATATCGCTAGTTGGAATTAAACCTTTGTCTTCACTTAAAGATTATTTAGAAGCCTTAAACCAAATTAATTCTTAATATTACATTGTAATTTGCACCTCTGAAAATAGTTTTATATTTCTTAATATGATTTTACTAAATACAAATTAATTGAATATTGATACAAATTAATTGCAATCTGANAAAAAATTTTTTTTTAAAAAAAATTGCGGGAAAATTTATCAAATTTCGTTCCGGTTTTTTTGGTTTTCTGATTTCCGGATAACGGGTTCTGTACTGTATTACATTGTATTCAACTTTTATTTGTACCTCTGAAAATAGTTTTATATTTCTTAATATGATTTTACTAAATACAAATTAATTGAATATTGATACAAATTAATTGCAATCTGAAATTAATATAATTCTTGAAACCATATTTCGAAACATATATGCTTTTGTGCAAGATATCGATAAGAGGGGAAAAAAAAATAGCTGTAAATAACACCAAAAAGTAAAATGCAGTTATAAATTTTATTGCAATACAATTTTAAATACAAATAAATAGTAAGAAAACAATAAATCTGTCTAGAAACTGAGCTGAATGAAACGTAAAAGATTTGAATGAAAATACTGAAAATTGTTTTATTGATTTGAAAATTATTTTTTAAAGGCAAATTCTGACAAATGCTATGTAATTTGGTCAAAGAGGCATTAAAAGTTACAAGCGCAAAAGAACTATGGTAAGAAATAAAATTTGGCATGCCCATTAATAGTTTTAAGTGTTTATAGAGTGCATTTTATTATCCTTACAATATATCACAAAAGTTTAAAATATATAACAGTAAAGTGGGACATATCCCTCTAAATACAAAAATTGCATACCATATCGACATATTGCTTAATATGTTTAAATACAATGTATTTGATTACTTTTACACAATAATTAAAATAAAATCCTTAAACAGCATTCAAACAATTGTTTCCTATCAGTGATTGAACATAATTATCACAAAAACCTCACCACCCCCCATATGAACAACAAAGTAACAAATATAAGTAAATATATTAATATATATATATATGTATACTTATGTACAAATACTTCATACAAATCTGATACTCCATATACTCTTCTACTAGGGACAAATACAATACAGCTTCTCTAGTTTAAGTAAGTTCTTTATGATGATTATTAATAATGATGACTCCTCTAATTCACAGCGATTTCATTTTTTTCCCGGGCAAAATCATATTAAAAAAATTAAAACTGAAGAATTAAAGTACAGATAGGCTTTTTATAAAATCTATGCTGAATATTTTTCTGTTTTATTCACAATTGGTCAAAAGAGGAACAGCGCACGCTCGGCGGCACTGTCTCCCCGAATGGAAATGGCACGTTCAGTCTGTCGCCACTTTGACACTCCGCTGTCTTTTGTGTATTCGTTTGTGGTGACTCTGAGCCATGGAGTTGACAATGGACAAAACATAGTATAAAATCATGCTGATGACAAACTTTTCAAAAATCCAGGCAAGCCATGTACCCTCCTGTAAAAGAAGTAAGATTTAAATAAGTGCTTCATAAACTAGTCAGTAATTGATCATTTACAGGGATCTGCTACATTTTAGATTTTCGAATTTATGACTTTCCATGACTAATTCCAAGAATTTTTCATGACTTAACGAAGTTACTATTTTCTCCGACAAAAACACAACAATAAATTTAAAAAAGCAACTTAACATTAATTGAAATGATAGGTACTATAACCAAAACTGTTATACTCTGCATTCTCATATTTGTAGATTCAAAATTTTTAAAAAAAAACAGGGTAAAGAAAGAGTTGAAGCAATAAAATAGCTGAATAAAAGGCATAAGCAAATATTTTTCTTTTTTACTGCAGAATTATATTCTAAAGATACTTTTCTTGTTCTTAGGAAAGGAAATACTCCTGATTTTTTTTGTTCTCATTTCGGATTATAAAAAAATTTGCCAATGACTGGCTTGCTTTAGCTAGAATTTTAAATTGATTAAAATAAAAAAAATTACCAAAAATTCTGAAATCACAGAAGTTTAAAAGATGATTCTCTCTAAAAATAATGCAGTTTCCTTCATTTGTTTTGAAAGAGCACCATAATTTTTGAAGAAAATGATAAAAACATTTTATATTTTAATAACATATGACCGTGAGTGGGGATTTTGTGACAAATTCAGATATTCAGAACACCATAAAATTGAGGGGAGGGTAAATTTCATTTTAAAAATGAGATTTTTTGGCAAACTAAATTCATGGCTTTCCATGAATTTGTTTTTAAAAAATAGTTAAAATCATGACATTTCATGACAAATTTTGTCCAACCCTGCAGTTATTAACAGCATTTTTCTCTTAAAAAATGAGATCAAGGAGATATTAAATAAAATATTATATCTCATCTTTTATGAACAATATTTGTTAAGTAGAAAATATAAAACAAATCCTTATTTTAATGATTCTGAATTAGACTCAAAATTAGTGTGAAAAAGTATTTTCAATCTTTATTTATAATACACCATAATCATAATGCACCCTAAGCATGATCTGGATTAACCTTCTTAAGACAGCTTGTACAATAGCTGTACCCGAACAAGGCTGGTACAGTTGCATCTCTTTTTCTGTTATAAAAGTATTTTATATATGAGACACATTAATGTTTTGTGTTACTATATTAGTTTTGTCTTTGTGTTTTTCAACATAACATGTCTCACACATCAAATACTTTTGAAACAGGACAAAATAAAAAGGTACAACTGTTGTACCAGCCATATCAAAAAGGTTAAAACTGTTTAATACATTAGCCTTAGTTAAAAAAAAATTAATAAAAATAGTATAATGGATATCCTTTGGCTAATGGATGGTTTCAAGTGGCAGTTGCAGGAGATTAACTTATGCTTGGAAGACAAACTAATTTTAAAAAATTTTATTTCTCGGAGAAATTAGGCAAAAAATAAATGGTCTCAACAGTATCATCCCTGCTTTATTTCACATAAGTTTCTGTTAACACGGAAATGTGTTCCAATTTATTTTAACAAAAACTCTTAAGACTTTGGCAAAAACCTCCAAGCTCATGGGATCTCAATACTTTTAAGCCTACAATAAGTTAACTTTTAAATTTTGGAATATGACTTAAAATGCAACATAATTTATTTCAGAAATAACTTCAAATTTCTTAAATTTTAAACTTTACATACTTACAAATTTTGTTTAGTTTACCAATGTTAAGTTTTTTTTTCTTTCAAAAATTTTGTTTTTGATGTTTTTTTTTCTCAATAAGTTAATATAATCGAAACAAAAAATATTTTATTTCAACTTCACTGTTTCTGAATTTTTTTCATTAATAAAAATCTAATTAATTTAAAATAACATTTCAACTAATTTTAGTAGTTTCTTTTACTAGGGCAGCAGCTATTTCATTATGCATTGTAGAATTGGACACATTGGCCTTTTAATAAGCTAAATATATAAAAAGCGCAAAATTTTTGAACTGCAGATAAATTTAAAGTTTTTCCGTAACTTAATACATTGATTTCCGTCACTTAACATGTCTTTTTCCACTGAATTTGCAAGGCAATCGGTCTATTCTTTGTGTATAATTAGATTCCGTTATAAACCGTTATAAAGATACTGTTGTAGCCACATTTTTTTCTTCTTTTTAATGGTGAGAGTTATTGAGTACATAATCATTGAAATTGAATAACATTTCTATAATACGAAGTTTTCATTTGGATTTCTTATCGGTCCCCCTCCTGTTTCACTTTTTTACAATCTAACCCTATAATATCATCAAAACCTGTAATTTAAACTTGCAACAGCATTTCTTTTCACATATGGCTGAGTGTTATGTATTATCCATATACTACACATCTGAGAAAAAAATTCATATTCAGATAGGAAAAAGATTTTAAAAAACCCAAAAGTTTGATTTTATAAAACATCAACAATGATCTCATTAAAGAATGATAAAAACATGTATTGAGATTGTAATGTTTCTGTTCTAGTGTATTTGATTTTATGATCCAGTGATTCATTTAGTGGTGGTGAATTTGCAAATTAAAATATGATACAATATCCTTATTTCATATCAGTAACTAATGCAATTATAATTATTTAATATGAACGTGTATTAGAAATAAACTACAAGTACTTCTCAAATTAAAAAAAAGAAATAAAAAAGAATTTAATGTAAAGATTTAATTAAAAAACTTTTTGACAAGAATTTCTTCAATTTTGCTTTTTTTTCAGAAAGTGACAAAGCATATTCTAAATAGCATCAAAAAAGTTAGATTTGATTCATATTATATATAGATATATTTTTGTTAATAATGCTGCTTATTTTTAATCAATAGTTCAAAATTTCTTGAAACACTTGTACAGGGTTCTCACTCTTTTAACAAAGCAAAAATTAAGCACTTTTAAGGACTTTTTTTAGAAAAATTAAGGACTTTAAAAATAGTATGCTTGTTTATCATAGAATATACTTATGACACCAGTAACAGTACCAATTATTTACCTTTCTGAAAAAAATCAATAAATAAAAGAAATAATAAAAAACAATTTAATTATAATGTAAGCACTGATATAATTGTATAAATTAACAAGGGCCGCCAAAGAAGTACTAGGCAATTTTTGCAAACCCGGGTCGGGTTTTTTAAAAAATATTTTCAGATTGTAAAAATTAACAAACGAAACTGATCTCTTTTCCATTTTTAATGATTTCATAGAAATTGAAATGTAAAATTAAGTGCAGAAATTAAGATTTGAAATTTTTTTCATGTAAATAAAAATTTGGCAAAAACATTGAAAAAATTATTACAACAAATTTTTATATTTTGCTACTAGACCAGCAAATGTGTTATATTTACTTTCATGACGAACTTTATCAAAATTATTTCCAGCTAAACCTGTTATTAGGAATTAACTTTACATAATGTTACTAAACATTCTGGCGAAACACATGAACTAATTTTAAAGCAACCAAATATTGAACAAATATTAAAAACAGTATATTAAGTAGCAATGTTAACTGAATAAAATGATTATTAAGATCTAAGGACCTTTTAGTTGAGTAGGTTTAAATTTTTATGTAACAATCAGCTTATCCTTAAGAAATAAAAATAATAGTGTAACTATCTAAAACCATAAATAAAAACTATAATAAATAAACTAATTTTACAAGGCAACAAAACAAATTATAAATAGTTACCAAATATTTAACTTTCTTGTTAGAAGTAAATCATGCTTTCTTATTTAGTACTCAATAAAAAAAATTTAAAGTACTTTTGAAAAAAAAAACTTGGTTTTCTTCAAAAACCTAATAAATCCAAAGTTTCTGATGAAAAACCTAGGTAGGCTGGGATTTTTCAAACCCTGTTTCTTATAGATCTGTTTAATTTTCAGCACAATCATGAATTTTAAAAATTTTGTGCTTTCTATAAATTTACAGTTACTTATTACACATTGAAATATTATACAAATTTATTGAATTCTTCAAGATTTTGGGAAATAGTTTTCGTTACGGATTCTAGTTCAAATATATATCTTTAGATGCTTCTTTTCTTAGCATTTTACTTAATTCCAATAAGCAGACGCATTACCAGTAGAATTGAATTTTTTGAATTCTGTCAATTTTGAAGGTTAGTGTAGGTCTTCTACTCAGGTATCTTAAAACCACACACCCCCCATAAAATGCACTATCTCTTCCATGTGCAGTAACCCACTTGTCCACACTATTCTTTTCTTTTAGAATGCTCCACTCTCCTCATAGAGTATCATTCTAGGCAAAAGCAGAATAGATTAATGAAAGAACCAATATATTAATGAAAGGACGTCCTTTCTTGCCCTTGCCCTCCACTTTAATTTTTTGTCTCTTTAAAATGCTATACCCTCGATGCATGGTCTAATTCTAAGTGATAAAAGAACAACATTTTGTTTTAAAAATTTGAACTGAAAAATTGTTCCTATCAAACAAATATCCTATCCTACTAAAAAATTAAGAGCTTTTAAAAACCCTGTACCAAAATTAAGTACTTTTAAGGGTCCTTATTCTCCAAAATAAAAAACAAGCAGTTTTTAAGGACTTTTAAGGACCGTGGGAACTCTGTTGTAAGTTATGTAAAAAGTGTATTAAATACATTATGCACTTCTTCCTAATATTAAAAAATCAAACTAATTATTTTTGCTAATTTTTCTAAAATCTCTGTATTAGAAAGAAAAAAACTCACTGATGTTCCAGGCATTCCAGGTTTTCGATGCAGATTTGCTTTTTGTTTCGCTAAAAACTCCTCCAGTGGAGCATGCAGATATTTCCCAACATGGGGAATGTATCTGAAAAATAATATGAAACATTAAAAAAAATAATGATAAGTACACACTAATGAGATTCATCCATTTGACACATAATGTCTCATTTATTTAACATGGCTATATAATATCGAACCAACAGTAATGTGGTAAAAAAATTTTATACAAAATTTATATTCCGTGATGCAGTGAAAGGAAAACAGCATTACCATAGAGGTTTTTGGTAACAAAAACTTAGTTTCTAAACATGGGTGGCTTAAAAGATTTTTTTCTAAATTATTTTTTAAGTAGCATAATAAAAACAATTTTTAAATTAAATTTAAAAAAAACTTTTTAAAAATTGTCTTGGTAATTGCTTGCTAATCGTATGAATAAGTTTTCCATTGTTGCATGACTTAATGTCAATTATTTGATACTAACTACAACAAATGATCAGTATAGTTAGAAAATATACAAAATAATAAATATAGATATATTTCTAAACAGCTAAATTCGCCACCACAGCCATAATTTTTCTTTCCAAAGAGCTTAGAACATTTGGAGTAAGTAAATATATAACAAAATTTGAAGTACCTAAACATTAAAATATATATATATATTTTTAATATGATTAGGTAAACATTGATTACACTTTTAATGGCTAAATTAGTAAACCTAAAATCCATAATATTTTCACACCTAAATGAATTTTTTGACTTTATTATTTAATATTTGATGAAGCTGAAACCCAGTTTTAGAAAGAGAAGAGAAAAAAAGAACAATATCAGATAATTTTAAAAGATTTTACAGACCAAGCTATAAATTTCCAAGTCCAAACAACTTATTTTATTTAGGATGAGTTTTGTATTTTATTAAAGTGCACAGTTTAATACAGTTTACCAGCACAATTCAAAATTTTTTCTTCAACATTTTAAAATAGACCCCAAGATAGAAGTTATCAACAAAAATTAGCAATGCTTAATATCTTAATGAACTCATTAAACAATTTCAGTAATATATAATTAAGAAAATTTATAAATCAGTACTGCAATTTTGTACAAACATATATTTTACATAAAATACTATATCAATTTGGCAAAATTATTTTGTGCGAAGATATACTTTACATAAAATACTATATCAATTTGGCAAAATTATTTTGTGCGAAGATATACTTTACATAAAATACTATATCAATTTGGCAAAATTATTTTGTGCGAAGATATACTTTACATAAAATACTATATCAATTTGGCAAAATTATTTTGTGCGAAGATATACTTTACATAAAATACTATATCAATTTGGCAAAATTATTTTGTGCGAAGATATACTTTACATAAAATACTATATCAATTTGGCAAAATTATTTTGTGCGAAGATATACTTTACATAAAATACTATATCAATTTGGCAAAATTATTTTGTGCGAAGATATACTTTACATAAAATACTATATCAATTTGGCAAAATTATTTTGTGCGAAGATATACTTTACATAAAATACTATATCAATTTGGCAAAATTATTTTGTGCGAAGATATACTTTACATAAAATACTATATCAATTTGGCAAAATTATTTTGTGCGAAGATATACTTTACATAAAATACTATATCAATTTGGCAAAATTATTTTGTGCGAAGATATACTTTACATAAAATACTATATCAATTTGGCAAAATTATTTTGTGCGAAGATATACTTTACATAAAATACTATATCAATTTGGCAAAATTATTTTGTGCGAAGATATACTTTACATAAAATACTATATCAATTTGGCAAAATTATTTTGTGCGAAGATATACTTTACATAAAATACTATATCAATTTGGCAAAATTATTTTGTGCGAAGATATACTTTACATAAAATACTATATCAATTTGGCAAAATTATTTTGTGCGAAGATATACTTTACATAAAATACTATATCAATTTGGCAAAATTATTTTGTGCGAAGATATACTTTACATAAAATACTATATCAATTTGGCAAAATTATTTTGTGCGAAGATATANAAAAAAAAAAAAAAAAAAAAAAAAAAAAAAAAAAAAAAAAAAAAAAAAAAAAAAAAAGTACAAATCCCAAAATTTTGTTAAACACTTTGTTAAGTTATGTAAAAAGTATTAAATACATTATGCACTTCTTCCTAACATTAATAAAATCAAACTAATTATTTCTGTTAATTTTTCTAAAATCTCTGTATTAGAAAGAAAAAAACTCACTGATGTTCCAGGCATTCCAGGTTTTCGATGCAGATTTGCTTTTTGTTTCGCTAAAAACTCCTCCAGTGGGGCATGCAGATATTTCCCAACGTGGGGAATGTATCTGAAAAACAATATGAAACATTAAAAAAAAAATAATAAGTATACACTAATGAGATTCATCCATTTGACACATAATGTCTCGTTTATTTAACATGGCTATATAATATCGAACCAACAGTAATGTGGCAAAAATTTATTATACAGAATTCATATTCTGTGATGCAGTGAAAGAAAAACAGCATTACCACAGAGTCTTTTGGCAACAAAAACTTAGTTTCTAAACATGGGTGGTTAAAAAGATATTTTTCTTAATTATTTTCTAAGTAGCATATTAAAAAAATTTTTAAACTAAATAAAAAAAAAACTTTTTAAAAATTGTCTTAGTAATTGCTGGATAATTGTATGAATAAATTTTCCACTGTTGCATTACTTAATGTCAATTATTTGATACTAACTACAACGAATGAGTATAGTTAGAAAAATATACAAAATAATAAATATAGATATATTTCTAAACAGCTAAATTTGCCAGCACAGCCATAATTTTCCTTTCCAAAGAGCTTAGAATATTTGGAGTAAGTAAATATATTCAAAATAAAAACTTAGCAAACTTTGAAGTACCTAAATATTGAAAAAAATTTTCAAATATATATTTTTAATAAGATTAGATAAAAATTGATTACACTTTTAATGGCTAAATTAGTAAATCTAAAATCCATAATATTTTCACACATAAATGAATGATTAAATAAAACGAATGAATAAATGAATAATGGCTAAATTAGCAAACCTAAAATCCATAATATTTTCACACATAAATGAATGAATAAATAAAATTAATGAATAAAAGAATAGAAACTTTGCAAATTTTGAAATACCTAAACATTAAAAATATATAAATACATATTTTTAATAAAATTAGGTAAACATTGATAACACTTTTAAAGGCCAAATTAGTAAACCTAAAACCCAAAATATATTCACACATAAATAAATTTTTTGACTTTATTATTTAATATTTGATGAAGCTGAAACCCAATTTTAGAAAGAGGGGGAAAAAAGAACAATATCAGATAAATTTAAAAGATTTTACAGACTAAATTATAAATTTCCAAGTTCAAACAACTTATTTTATTTAGGATGAATTTTGTATTTTATTAAATTGCACAGTTTAATACAGTTTAGCAGCACAATTCAAAAATTTTTCTTCAACATTTTAAAATAGACCCCACGATAGAAGTTAACAAAAATTAGCAATGCTTAAATATCCAAATGAATCCATTAAACAATTTTTTTTTAAAAAACAGCTCAGTAATATAATTAAGAAAATTTATAAATCGGTGCTGCAGGTTAAATAAAATGCAATATGAATTTCAATCATTTTGTACGAAGATATACTTTACATAATTTATTATATCTATTTGGCAAAATTATTTTGTGCAAAAATATACTTTACATAAAATACTATATCAATTTGGCAAAATTATTTTGTGCAAAGATATACTTTACATAAAATACTATATCAATTTGGTAAAATCCTTTTGTGCAAAGATATAGTTAAAAATAGTAAATGAACTATAATAATTACTTCATCTTGTTCACTAGTTCAAGCACTAATCGCTCATTGAATGCAATTATAACAAATAGTTTTTGAATATGCATCTTTATGATAGCTTTTCCAATCATTGTAGCTCCAAAAAATGTCCAGAAGGGTACAAGGAAATGTCCACAGGTGATTCCAGCAAGATCAAATAAAGGATTTGGAATCTAAAGAGAGAGAAAAAAGAATTTTTGAAACAAATCACATGCAAAAAATAAATAATTGATTGCTAAATTGTTAAAAATGTAGCAAAACAATTCCTTAGTTGGAAACTGTTTTTAAAATTTTTGTACATTAATCTTTAAAAAAATTATGCATCATAAAAACTAAGACAATTATATTTTTGGACAATTCTGATATTTTGAACTTAAATGAAAATATTTATTTTTTAAAATCATAAAACAAGCTCCTCTTAAACGGTTAACACTGAATTTGCAATAATTACTTTCCACACAGAAAACTAGTTTTAGTCATTCTTTCCCATGGTTTTTTCTAAGAAAAACTGTGCATGACAAGAAAATTTTTGTAATATATAGATTTGCCAAATTAAGTACAAGCAAAGTTATCGGCATACTACCTGAAGTCTGCAGCGTATTTAAACTAGCAAATGGTCAATGTGTAACCTTGCAACCCCCTAACTAGAGTAAAAAGTTTTGTAACTCTTTTTCAAAGTAATTTCTTTAAATTTTTAAAAAATAAAAACATTGAAATTAAAAAATAACATTAATAAAGGATAATTTATTTTGAAGACAAAGTGTGCAGAATTTCAAACATTTTTCACTTTCTGATTATACTTTTAATATTTCATAAATATTACTATACTTTCTCAAGTATTAAAGAGACATTGATATTGGTTTATAACAAATAGTAATAATGAAATCAATCAATAGATATAAATATAGAAATCATAGAATCTCCCAAAAGCTTTTTTTATTTTTTTGGAATGTCCTTCACATGAAGAAGGTTGTGCACTCCTGAGTAAATCTATGGTTCACCAATAAAAAAACTTGCTCCTTCTTTTGTTACTTAAAGGAGAATATTAAGAGACATGCCAGAGGAATTTTATAAAAGTTGTAGGTATAATGTGAAAAGTAAATATATTAAATACTTATATCAATTACTTACAATAGTGTTTTAAAACTAATACTTGCTAGATTAATTGCATCACTTTTAAAAGCTTCAATAATTGTATCACAACTGGCACATATATTAAGGAGACAGAAAGCCCGTCAAGTTTATGATTTATAACACTCAAATATACAGAGTTTGGACAAAATAAAAATACTAAACTAAACACAGTGGCGCGACAGCCCATAGAGGGCCAAGGCCTACTGTACCAATCTCAGTTTTCTTGACCTTGGACTCTAGGGTGCAGGAGCAGCTGTTCCGGTGGTCAGCCAAATGCAGAACTCCCAGTGTTTAGTTCCCAAGCCTGCTTCATACTCATTTTATCGACCCACTGAAGGGATGAAAGGCTGAGTCAACCTTGCCAGGCCCAAGGTTTGAACCCAGAACCTGTGGCACTGGTGGAGCGCAAAGCGCTACCACTCAGCCACTGTGCATCAATAGAAATACTACTACGTCTATTTTTAGAAAATACTACTAAGTCCATTTTGAGAAACAGTAATTTCTTTCAATGAAAAGTCCTTGTAAATTTTATTAGTCAAAAGTTATAGCAGATTTTGAAAGATTAAAATAGAAATTAACATCACATGTATCTAAATGAAAAGTGCATATTAGTTTGGGTTAGCAAAAAAGCTAAAAGTTTCCAGTTTTCTTTTTTTCCTTTTTAATAACAATTGTATAAATATTTGTTTTTATCTAGAAATTTATTTCTAAGGCATAAAGTTAGCATATTTGTAAAGAGCACATTTCTATAAAAAATGTTGAAAGAAAAACACATTAAATTACTTATCATAATTACTAAAATTTTGGTATGGTTACAGATCTCAATTTTGAAAAGCTTGGATTTTAATATTTCAGAATATAAAAAACTTTTCACACAGGAAATTTTCTGTAGCTTTAATAGTAAGGGGAAATAAAAACTTAACCTGTAAAAGTAACAGTATTTACATTATCTTGTCCAATTCTGGTACACTTAAACTGGTTCTAAAATGTTTATTAATTTATTATAAGAATCTGCAAATTGCACTCTTTACAAATAAAAATATGAAAACTTTTTACTAAGATAAGTTTTTTAAAAATAAATTTTTTTAGTAATTAGGAATATGCTAAATTTTCATCTTTGCTATCAATATTTGAACGGACGAAAATTAAAACCAAGGTGCATATTAATAAACTATGAAAACCATTGTAACTACTCCAAATGGTCATACATGCAATAATTATTCATATTTCATGCATAGCAGGGAAATTTTGTTTTATCTTATAGTAGTGTTTTAAACACAGGCATGATATAATCCATAGACATTAAATACAAAATTACATTTATGAAAATATTTAGGTATTTATTCTATTATAAGATATATCTAACTAAAACATTTAAATTACATTTCCAAAAACAATGAATGCAAATAATTCACTTACGGATGCACAAGCTAGAATACCAAAAAATCCAACACGCTCAACAAGTTTTTGAACAGCCAATTTTGCTCTATCATAAAAGGACTACAAAATAAATAAAAATGACATTTTAACGCATTGTAAATAATATAGAATTTAAATTCAATACATAGTTATTTACAATTTCAAATTTCTTAACTAAAATTACTTTCTTTAGTAATATTAACAATAAGATAGATGTTAGAATACAAATTAAAGAAACTTATCAAACTGAATAACACTAAAATGTTCAACATATGATAAGGGAAAAAATTAACGATAAATACACCATATACATGTTGAAAAAATATGTCCTGTAAATGCCTGAATTGACGAAAATATTAACACCGGTAGGCATTGGAAATAAAATTAATAAAAAAACTTTACGTGAAGATAACAGTTGAAAATTAAATTAAACAAAAATTGCTATTGCTTAAAGAATCTAAAAATTATGCGTCAAAAAATTCAGATTTTCCATCAAGCTAAAAAAGAAATATCAACCACTGATTATAATTAAGTTTTTTTTTAATAAAATCCTCTTAAATGACAGCATTAAAATATAGATGTTACAGTCTTTTATAAAACCTATACGTTACGACATCCAATATAAAATTATATATCCTTAGTACTAAAACATTTAGATAGAATACTCTATAAAGCACACAGAAATATTTATTATCAATGTAACCTACTTGTTCACTGGGCTTATTTTTCTTCACTTGAATTAATTCTTCAAATTCTTTAAGATCTTCATCATCATGATCTTGGCCAGACAGTCTCGCTACACAGGGGAAAAAAATTGGTAAGTAAATTATAATATTTATTGCAAATCACAAGAAAATCATTACTTAAGTTAAAAATAAAAATACCTGCTTTAGCCATAAAGTAAGGAGGTAATTCCCCAAGCGCTGTACCCAGACCCTAGAAATAATTCAATTCAATTAAAAAATGAGATTGACCTGTTAAAAAACATAGTATTAATGATTATATTCACTGTCATAAAGAGTATGAAAATGTTATTTAACTTCAAATGAAGACAATTATAAATAATTTAACAGATTTTAATTCCTTCAGGTAAAAAAATGAAGGTAATTAAGTATCTAACCTCAACAAATTAAAACATTCAGTTTTTGTACTTAAACTTACCCACATAAATGCTTCAAGTCTAACTTTACTCATAATTTTCAGTATCGTTATAACATTGGTGCTGTGATCCCCTTCTGGACATATAATTCTGAAATTACATTAAAAAAAAACTATTCAAAAAGGTTATGATGATAGTAAGTACAACATCATGTAAAACGAGAAAAATATTCTTCAGAATTACTATCAAATGGAAAAATTCTCAGAGTTTTTATAACTAATTTGTAATGACTTAATGAAGAATACTAGGCTCAAGGTAAAGCTAAAATTAACCTGAAAATTTAAAATAAACAAACGATCCATAAAAATATTTCCATTTTAATAAAAAGTTTATGAAAACAAGGTTAACTACATCTGATGATTAGTTACATAAAATATTTGCATACACAGTGTTTTCACTACATCACGAGAATCTCGAATATTTTTTTCTTTTCTCGCAATAAGAAATGATTAACATGAGAAGTTCATGCACTCTATTAATCAATTTCAAAATGCGCGAATTTTGGAGAAAAAATTTTTTTTGTTGCTATTTTCAATAAAATCCGTTTTACTTTTCTTTCATTATCTATCCTTGATCTTTCATTATTTTGAACATCGGTCCTTGTTATCTAGCTTCCCTATTTACCAGTATTGTTCAGAACCAGTGAAAACAGCAGAACCCCCCCCCCCCCGAACCCCTTTCAGAACGCATTTCTCTGCAACCACATGTTCACCGTAGGTAAGGTTTCTTCATGTAAGACGTTTACATTTTTTGTGCATGGATGTAAGATGGTCAAATACCTTGTTAAGGCGACATCTTCTACTCCGTAACGGACAAATGAAAATGAAACAAATGTCGGTAGAAACTGTTAAAACGAAACCAGATATTTTTCAACCAAATAAATATAATAGCTGATGAAAAAGTAGATATAGAACATTTTCCATATGATGATGCAGCAAAAATATGCAATTAGAAGATGTTAAAAATGTATTATAGTTAAAGAAATAATTTTTTTCCAAGTCTATTCTTGTTTTTTTTCAATTTTTAGAAATCTCACTAAACTTTTTGAAATCTCACCCTGTTTTTGAGAAAGGGTGAGAAATTTTCTCCCATTTTTTTTCGTAATGAAAACACTGCATACATGTTAACTTTTAGGCTCTTCAAAGAATTGTTTTCCCCAGTGGTAGTGAAATGCTAATTGAAGTGATATTCTAAGCAGACATTCGATTCACATTCAGCCAATACTTACAACACAAATACAATAAATGACAGCATAAGCTTTGGTGATAGTGTGTAAATGGAAGCCTAACTAAATATTTTTATCATGTTATATTTTTTAAGGTAAGACGATTATTCAATTGAACCAGTTATGATAAAGCTACAAAAAAATTTTAAAAATTACATCAGTTAAATATGCGAGCTGTTAAATGCTGTTTAAAGAAAATTTAAAATTTTACTGCACATATGGTATATATTTCCCATACATCTATGTTTTAACCTATATTTTTCAGAAACTTAACTAATACTTTCCTTGAAAACCTTATTCTCTATGCAATTCACAATCTTTTATAAGTTATGGGAGGATAAATAGATGAGATGCTATAAACATTGATTTTTATGAAAAAGTATCAACAAGTTACAATTTTAAAATTTTTATAATATAGTAAGAGCTGTAAAATGAACTAATACCCCCCCCCCCCAAAAAAAAGTCGAAAAATGCAAATGTCATCAGTATCTGGGCCACAGTTATAACCAAGATTCCTGAATAAGCTCTTTTAGGAAAGATATTTAATGGAAAATTTAAGGATCAGTTTAAATTGGGTAAAAGATAAATGTACTAATTAATGCAGCCAATTTTTTAGACATGTTTTAAAACCACAATGTGTTGTTCATACGGATTTATGGGTTGTTCACAGACAATGACACTTTGAGGGGGGGGAGAGGGTTCCTAAAATTTTATCAATTTGCGACAAGGAAATTGAATAGGATAACAAGAAATGTAAAATAACACATTTTGATTAAAATGTTTAATATCAGCAGATATTTATATTAAAATCAGCATCAGATTATATATTAAAATCAGCAGATATTTCTATACTGTTATTTTTTCTTCATGTCTTTCATTAAATTAGCAATATTGTTATGATTACAATAACCATTAGAAACTTAAAGTTTAAAAATAAAATTTCAAACATGACTTAAAACATGTTTTTTTTTTTTTTTTTTTTTGCCTCAGATCTGAAAACCAAAAAGGTAACAAATTATTAGTAAAAGTATAAATATACTTTAAGTCAATTTATAAAATGATATTTAATACAATAGGAATTTAAAATAAAAAACATTTTTAAAAAATATCAAAAGAAGTTCTTAAATGATCAGGGCATGCAGGGTACTCACTCATCAGGGTATGGAGGCTGAGGAAAATCAAGACTATTACATTCATAAGCTGCTAATGTAACGGCTGCAATATAAGGACCCTAAAATAAAGAATAAATGATTTTTAAAAAAATTTTCTTTTAAAATTTACTAAAATAAACTGAAAAAACTACATAAAAAGCGAATTTCAAATAGATTTAAATCAAAACTGTAAAGAATGATAACAATATTTTTTTTTATAGGAGTAAATACTCCAATTGTCTTCACTTTTTTAATAATTTAAAATATATGGAATTCCACTATTATTTTTACATAAGAATTCAAAATAAGTTTTTCAGAATATTGTATCCACATGAAATGCAATAAAGACAAAATAAATGTAATGTGAGATAAATGAGAAAAAAAATGTAAGATATGCCTTGTAGGAAATGATGCAAACGTTGCATTCACCAAATAACTCTTCGATTTTTCAAGATTTTGGCACAAATATTTAAAATTCCCCAACTTTTCCCAGAATTCCCAATTTATCAGGCAGCTTTTCAACTCTAGAATAATATGTTAAAATTGGTTTTGAAATGTCATGCAACTTAATTATTACTGTAGCATGATTTTTTGCACTAATTATTGAGTTAGTTGCTAACTCAGCATTTCACACATTTGAAATTATGAAGAACCATTGAATTTTTGTTGGGTTGCTGCAGGATCTTTAACCCTTTATATCTCAACATCTCTGATTTTAATAAAAATTACTCATATATTAGAATACATCATTCTAAGCATGTAAAAAATAGTAAAAAAATTNTAATCAGTTGTTTTTTTAGTGATTTTGAACAAAGATTTCTGTTGTATGTTAAAAATATATACACATGTATGAATACGTCTAAAAATAATTTGTGTTTCCACATTTTAGGTTTTTTACAGATTATTGGTGATTTTCGTTATATGCAGTACCCTTCCAACCCAATTCCATGGATTACCGAAGCTCTATTGAATTAATTTTCAAACAACTTGAAATAGTGCATGAGTTTTAAAATCAAAAATAATTTATACAGTAATGAAAATTCATGACAATTATATAGTAATGAACTTCATATTAAACAAGAGAAAAAATAAATGATTATGTATTTTAAAAAATCAAATAAAAGCTATCACTTACTAAATAAAGCACAAATGTATGAAGACCTGTACCAAGTCCTACAGAAGACAAAACACCAAGGCCTATCCAGTAGGCACATCGTAAAAACTCCTTTTCTAAACGAACAACATACTGAAAAAGAAAAAAAATTTAAGTTCTTAAAAATGTTTATAAAATACAATATTAAACTGTAACTATAAAGGCGGGGGAAAAATGAATAAAGAAAACTATTATACTGATATGAATATAAGCTTCACATTCTAAATACTTTTTTCAAAACATTAATAAACAAAACTTGGTAGTAGCTAAATGCCAAAATATGAATTCTATAAATAAAAAAGAATTTCAAAATGTATATTTAAGCACTGTTAAAACTAGCATTAATTTTTGAATTTCAGCTCAAATTAGTCTTTAATAAAATACACTGACAAATCTGAAATGAAAACACGAGAAATAGTGGTACATTTGCAAAGGTATGCATCTTTTGCATGTCACAGCACTATAAAAATTACTCAAGCATTTATTGGAGGTCTAAAAAAAAAGTAATAACAATCTGAAACATTTTTTAAACACCAAATTACTCATAATTTTTAAATTTTGGAATACAACTCCTTATTTACTTTAAATCCAACATCTGAGTTGTCGTCATTGATGTATATCCCCCTATGCGTAATTCAGCATCATTTAAGCAGGACATAATTTTTAACCAAAACACACCATTGAATAATGAAAACAGATATTTTAACAATAAATATCGCAAAAGTTAACGAATTGAGAAAATAATCCATATTCTCTTCATAATACATTTAAGAAATAATGTTTAATTGATTAGATATAAATTTAATAACAGATATCAAAAATTCTATCTGGTTTAAAAAAAGGTTAAACTCTAGGAACCAATGTTCCACGGAATATAATCGTGCTCCGTGGTGCTTTAGGGTGCTGCGAAACAGGGAGCAACTAAAATCAGACAGGATGATAAAAAAATATATACCATACTTTGAAGTTATTTATCTCAAAGTGAACTAAAGTGAAACTATCATAACTATTCAAATAAGTTCTTTCATAATTATTTTTTTTTATATAGGCACACATCAAAATATAAAATTGCTTACTCTTTGATGAGGACCGTCAAAATGATAGAATGTTACACTAATGGCAATGGCTAGGAGACATATAAGAACAAGCTTTTGGTGTTTGAGAAATCTAAATTAAAAAAAATAATAATAAAACTTAATGCATTCAACTAAATATGATTTAAACTTCTTTAAGTAGATAAGAATATTATCAATAAAATAATGTGTGAGAATGAAAAATTTATTACTATCAAAAATTCATGATAAACGAAATCGGTTCATAGCAAAATTAGCTTGCGGAACATTTTTTTTTTAATAGTCTATATACAGAGCCTGTGAATTTGAAGTCAAATTCTAAATGGCTTTGCTGCAAAGGGCTTAAGCTTTTACATTTAAATACATTATAAAAATATTCATATAAGGGTAAAAAAATAATGACTGCTTAAATTTAATGAAATAATTTTTCTTGAAAAAATCATGCCATTAAAATTTTTTATGTAGATACATAATACTTTTGACATTTTTAATGACTACCGTAACCATCAATATCTTGAGGTATTCTAGAAGTTTGCTCTAGCAACTGAATGTTATTTTTTTGGTGTATAAGTCTACTTTTTAAACACTTAAATTGCAATGAGAGTTGGAGGGGATCAACTTTTACACAGACAACATATTTGGATATATGGATTTTTTTCTTCAGAAATATTCTTATTATAAAGTATTAACTATCTCTCCCTGAAATCTAATCTAAAATAAATAAAAACATAAAATAAGTAACTTAAAATTGAAATTTTTATATGACAAAATAACTTTTTACACATCAGGGGTAGAAATTAGGAAAATGTAGTCACTAGACCAAAAGAACTGCAAGTAAAAGATATTACCAGTTCATATTAGTTTTGACTGGTCAGTGTTTACATGCCCCTATACATATTTTTAAAAAAGTTAGGTAATAATAAAAAATTTCAATAAAAAATTACAATCACAAAATATGCAAAACTATGATGAAATATGTTATTTTGGAGAACATACAAAACACAAAATAAAAATAGAACATTATATTCATTATTTTAGACACTGATCTGTTGGACTACTGTGTATAAGACTAGTTAAATTGTAAAAAATGAAAGACTTCATTAAAATTTAATTTATTATTACATTAATTTTTGTACTGAAGAAACAAAATTAGTTGAAAGAAACGGAAATGCTGTTGAAGATATCCATATGGGTTTGTAGAAATGATTAAGAATGTAAACACAAGCAAAATAAAAAGTCATTTAATGAGATGAAACAAAATTATAGAAGACTAAAATGTAACACTTAGCTTCCACTTTGTAAGTTTTTTTTTTATAAACAGATTCTTTTAACAAAAGAGCGAGAAAAAAATTACTGATTCGAATGACTCACTATGGAGAATATAAAAACTCACGATTTACTAATATAGTATAACATATAAGAAATTTAAAATAAAAATATTAACAGTCAGTAAAAATAAAAAACTATCATATATTTAATGCGTGAGAATGTCGGTAAGTCCAGAACAGATTCTAGTTCATAAATTTATAAAAAATTTCTTTGTCCGTAATATTTTAAAAACGATCTATTCTTAATAATTTAACTTTACAATTACACCATTATGCATCTTTATAACAGTTTTCTAAAAAGTTCAGCAACAATGACTGAGCTTTATAAAAATATTCAAATAGTGATACACAGAATAATAGAACATTGCTTCTGTTTGTAAATTGATTACTTAATAATGCAAAATATATTTAAATGCGGGGCTGTATGAGGCATTAATGTTATTGGGAATTCATAATAGTCTGAGAATCATTCTAAATCAAACTATTTATGCAGATATAAAAGTTCTCAAACTGTAGACTAAGGTAAAACAATTGTTTGCCAGCCAGTCAGTCAGACTGCAGTGTATTGAGGGTAAAATATATTGTAATAGGCAGCAGTCGAAGTGCAAATGATAAGATATAAATAATAGTTCATTAAAAGATTATCTGTCCTCGTTCCGATATTGTATTTCAGATAATTTATTTTGATACTGCAAGTAAAAATCTGACTAAAATTAGACTCCTTTAAAATGTGATAAATTATCAAATGCGTTGTTTCCAACCAATTACATTCTAATTGAGCTGTGATAGATCAATTACACAAGACCGTTACAGGCCATATTTTCAATAGTTAATTAATTTCCTTTCATTAGCACTTTATCTGGTCCATCTAAGATTAATTTAAAAATTCTATATATCAATCTTCAATGCAACATAGTCAGACCAACAGAATAAGAATAATCTTGCTCCATCTTAAAAATTTTGTGACGACATCTCTGAATATATATATATATATGAATATATATATATGAATATATATATATATGAATATATATATATGACGACATCTTTCATTTAAAAAATCGTTTAGTCTTATTTTGAGAATTTTTTATGTTTCACAATCAGAATTTTAAAGGGTTAAGATATTCAGCTAATGTATAAGCTAAATGTGTTATTTTTTTAAACAAAATTTTTTGTATAATATCATATCAGAAAATTCTCAATGAAGAAAAAGAAAGAATAATATATTTTTTAGTACATAATACAGTAGGGAACCGATTATCCGGAATGATACGGACCATCGCTATTCCGGATAACTGATTTTTCCGGTTTTTTGAATCGCTACAAAAAGTCGTTTTTTTTATTGTTAAACCCAACTAAAAAAAAAATATTTGGAAATAATCTTGAAAAAACGAAGTAATACACTAATGATTATTTCCAAAATGATGCTAGGGTAAACATCTTTCAAAAAAGGAAGAAAAATCCTAAAATCTTATTAGGAAAAAAATTTTTTTTTTGAAAAAATAGCGGTAAAAGTTATCGAATTTCGTTCCGGTTTTTTGGTTTTCCGGTTTTCTGATTTCCGGATAACGGGTTCTGTACTGTAATAAAAAAACAAATGAACAAAAATGATGAAATAAAATAAAAGTAATTACAATGTTTTATTTTTAACGTTGGAAATAATAGTTTTTAGCGTAAAAGTAAAATTAAATGTTTTAGAAACATTTTTGTGCTGGTTTAAATTAAACTAAATGCATATATACATTAAAAAAATACTTTAATCTATAATAGTTTCATTTCTCCTGCCTTTAGACTACCTGGTACAGTATTATCTCAGAAAAATTCTAAAGTTTTGAATTATAATTTTTGCAATAAAAGTTTCTCTTTAATTCAAATAGGTAAAAATTTATCAAAAGTTAAATTTTAAAATAAACAAAATGCCAATTTTAATTTATGATAAAAAGTATTAAAAACATTGCCAAGGTTACTGCAAAATATTTATCTGTTAATTAAATATCATTGAATCGAATGATAATATATAAAGAAATCTTAATTCTAGAAAAATTGAAGCTATTTTTCATAACAGAAACTTATCCTACACTTCTTTTTTTTATTTAACTGTCTTTAAACTAGAAATAAATTATGTTATTACATCAAATCTATGATTTTCTATTCAAACCAGCTACTTAATGAAGATGAGTGAAATATTTAGTTATAAAACTTTGAAGAGAAACATAATCACTTTACGCTTAATGGAAAACGCCATGTTAAGTGTTTTATTCAGGGTGAGTAGTCAAATTATTCAACAAAAAATAAGCACCTTTTAAGCACTGAAAAATATTTTTAAGCACTTTAAAAAACATCATAATTAACCCAGGTTGGAAAGTTTTTGACAATTGATGGTTTTATATTGTTTTAACAGTCTTGTCCAAAAAAAAAAAAAAATTATGGCATTGTTTTTGACAATTTTCAGAAACCAGGAAATTTGAATCATGTAAAACAAACTGCGTTTTCATATGCTACGGACTGACAATACGCCGAAATAGATTGGGGTTGAATTAATTGTGAAAACGTTGAATAGAACAATGTGAACTGTGTCCTTTTGCATAATTTGTAGCGAAAATCAACATGGTAAAGGAAAAATCTCATTTTGAAAAAGGGAAAACTAAGCACTTTTTAAAAACGCTACGCACCATGTTATTCAAGAGAATGTTTGGAACATTGAGAGGGAGGGGATGACTATTTGCATATGTCTATTACCTCTCAAGTCATATCTATGCTAATGCTATAGAAAAATCAACATAGGCGACAAAAATTCAAAATTAAAATTTTTATACATTTATTATTGATATAAGCAACAGTTTGAAATTTTGAACAAAATTTTTTACATCCAGCTTTCCATTTTAAAAACTATTTAAACCAGTTGAAGCACAAAGCAAGGAATAAGAAAATTAACAAAACATGAAACAAAAAACAATCCATATATTAACTTAAGATCTTCTAATTTACAGTTCACTAATTTGAAATTTTTAAAACCAAAATCTGAAATTTCAAATGTTTTATAAACGAAGAGTATGAAATCAAGGAAAGAATGAAATTAGTTTCAACAACTAAAATTATACAACATACTGAATACAAACTTTCAACATTAATTTTGACAAAATTATGAGCAATGAAAAGAAATCTTACTGGGTTCCATATTCATAAAAATCTATGAGTAACTCTTTTATAAAATACTGAAGAGTAGTAAAAGGCTGTTTCCACAAAACTAAATTTTTTCGATCTTCTCTGACGGCAATCCATTGCTTGTGTTGACTGGATAATGAACTTGGATCATATTGCATAGAAAATACACTATCAAGTCCTCCATTAGACGTTACACTTTCGTAAGACTTCCTCGATTTTACACTAGGATCTGAATTTTCAGACATCTTCACTTTATCAAATTTTTCTAATCGCTTTACCTGAAAGAGAGAAAATATAGTATAACTCATAAATGTAAGAAAAATAATCATCCACTCATTGCGAAGATTTTAAAATCAGTACTTTTATCAAAATAATTGTCGAATTCTGGGCAGTGGTATGAACAAAACTAAGTAAGGTTGAACTCCGACCCACCCCAGGGGGGTATACGGAGATAAAAGTAAAATTATTACAATAAAATTTCTCTAAAAACTAAAGTTACAGTAAAATTTCGCCAAATGACAGTGGTGGTGATCAGTTAAAAGTGGATTAACAATAAAGTTTGACAATTAAAAACATGTGTTAAAGGCAATGAAACCCAATAGCGCCGGTGTAAATGTCGAGAATTAAATGATTATAATAATAAGGAAACAAGAGATAAAAAATCTCAAAACTAAAATCAATGAAAGCTAAAAGTCCAAATAGTAAATGTCTAAAAGTAAAAGTCTGACTAGAAGTCTATGAAGTCTAAAATCAAAAGTAGATAAAAATTCAAAATGTAAGGCTAAAAGTTGATTAGTAAAAATTAACGATGACATGCTCTATTGTTGGTTCATNCAGGATGATAAAAAAATATATACCATACTTTGAAGTTATTTATCTCAAAGTGAACTAAAGTGAAACTATCATAACTATTCAAATAAGTTCTTTCATAATTATTTTTTTTTATATAGGCACACATCAAAATATAAAATTGCTTACTCTTTGATGAGGACCGTCAAAATGATAGAATGTTACACTAATGGCAATGGCTAGGAGACATATAAGAACAAGCTTTTGGTGTTTGAGAAATCTAAATTAAAAAAAATAATAATAAAACTTAATGCATTCAACTAAATATGATTTAAACTTCCTTAAGTAGATAAGAATATTCTCAATAATATGTGATAATATAATAAATAATGTGTGAGAATGAAAAATTTATTACTAGCAAAAATTTATGTTAAACGAAATCGATTCTTAGCAAAATTAGCTCGTGGAACATTTTTTTTTTTAGTCTATATACAGAGCCTTTGAATTTGAAGTAAAATTCTAAATGGCTGCAAAGTGCTTGAGCTTTTACATTTAAATACATTATAAAAATATTCATATAAGGGTAAAAAAATAATGACTGTTTAAATTTAATGAAATAATTTATCTTGATAAAATCATGCCATTAAAATTTTTTATGTAAATACATAATACTTTTGACTTCTTCAATGACTACCGTAACCATCAATATCTTGAAGTAGTCTAGAAGTTTGCTCTAGCACCTATTGAATGTTATTTTTTAGGTGTATAAGTCTACTTTTTAAGCACTTAAATTGCAATGGGAGTTGGGTGGGGGTCAACTTTTACAGTGGCAACATATTTGGATACAGGGATATGGATAGTTTTCTTCAGAAATATGATTCTTAATATAAAATATTAACTATCTCTCCCTGAAATCTAATCTAAAATAAATAAAAACATAATATAAGTAACTTAAAATTGAAATTTTTATATGACGATATAACTTTAGAAATTAGGAAAACTTAGTCACTAGACCAAAAGAACTGAAAGTAAAAGATATTACCAGTTCGTATTAATTTTGACTGGTCAGTGTTTACATGCCTCTATACATATTTTTAAAAGAGTTAGGTAAAAATAAAAAATTTCAATAAAAAATTACAATCACAAAATATGCAAAACTAAAACTATGATGAAATGTGTTATTTTGGAGAACATACAAAACACAAAATAAAAATAGAATATTATATTCATTATATCAGTCGCTAATCTGTTGGACTACTGTGTATAAGGTTAGTTAAATCGTAAAAAATGAAAGACTTCATTAAGATTTAATTTATTATTACATTAATATTTTTACTGAAGAAACAAAATTAGTTGAAAGAAAGAGAAATGCTGTTGAAGTTATTCTTGTGGGTTTGTAGAAATAATCACAAATGTAAACACAAGCAAAATAAAAAGTTACTTAATGAGATGAAACAAAATTATAGAATACTAAAAAATAATACTTAGCTTCCACTTTAAGTTTTTTAATAAACAGATTCTTTTAACAAGAGTGTGGAAAAAAATTCATAATTTTATAAAAAAGTTCATAATTCTATTCTAGTTCATAAATTTATAAAAACTTTCTATGCATGTAATATTTTAAAAACAGTCTATTCTTAATAATTTAACTTTACAGTTACACTATTATGCATCTTTATTACGATTTTGAGAGAAGTTTAGCAACAATGACTATAAATATTCAAAGTGCAACTCTTTTAATTTTTTGCATAAATATTCAAAAGTGATACAGAGTAGTATAATAGAACATTGTATGCTTCTGTTTGTAAATTGATTACTTAATAATGCAAAATATATTTAAATGTGGGGCTGTATGAAATATTAATGTTAATGGGAATTCATAATAGTCTGAGAATCACTCTAAATCAAAAATCAAATCATTTATGTAGATATAAAAGTTCTCAAAATGTAGACTAAGGTAAAACAATTATTTGCCAGCCAATCAGACTGCAGTGCATTGAGGGTTAAATATATTGTAATAGGCAGCAGTCGAAGTGCAAATGATAAGAAATAAATGATAGTTCGTTAAAAGATTATCTGTCCTCGTTCTGATATTGTATTTCAGATAATTTATTTTGATACTGCAAGTAAAAATCTAACTAAAATTAGACCCTTTTAAAATGTGATAAATTATCAAATGCGTTGTTTCCAACCAATTACATTCTAATTGAGCTGTGATAGATCAATTACACAAGACCGTTACAGGCCATATTTTCAATAGTTAATTAATTTCCTTTCGTAGCACTTTATCTGGTACATCTAAAATTAATTTTAAACATTTTATACATTAATCTTCAACGCACCATAGTCAGACCAACAGAATAAGAATAATCTTGCTCCAGCTTAAAAATTATTAAAATAAACATTTTGTAATGACATATCTGAATATATATAACTTTCATTTAAATAATTTCTTATAGAGAATTTTTTATGTTTCACAATCAGAATTTTAAAGGGTTAAGATATTCAACTAATGTATAAGCTAAATGTGTTAATTTTTTTAAAAAAAATAATTTTTGTATAAGCCATTAACTATGCACTAAATAAAATTCTCAATGAAGCAAAAAGAATAATGTATTTTTTAGTACATAATAATAAAAAAACATAAATAAAATAAACAAAAATTATGAAATAAAAATAAAATAAAAGTAATTACAATGTTTTATTTTTAGCGTTGGAAATAACAATTTTTAGCGTAAAAATAAAATTAAATGTTTTAGAAACATTTGTGCTGGTTTAAAATATACTAAATACATTAAAAAAAATACTTTAATCTATAATAATTTTATTTCACCTGCCTTTAGACTACCTGGTACAGTATTACCGTAGAAAGATACTAAAGTTGTGAATTGTAATTTTTGCAATAAAAGTTTCTCTTTAATTCAAATAGGTAAAAATTTATCAAAAGTTAAATTTCAAAATAAACAAAATGCCAATTTTAATTTATGACAAAAAGTATTAAAAACATTGCCAAGGCAACTCCAAAGTATTTATCTGTTAAATAAATATCATTGAATCGAATGATAACATATAAAGAAATTTCAATTCTAGAAAAAATTGAAACTATTTTTCATAACAGAAACTTATCCTACACTTTTTTTTTATTTAACTGTCTTTAAACTAGAAATAAATTATGTTATCACATCAAATCTATGATTTTCTATTCAAACCAGCTACTTAATGAAGATGAGTGAATTATTCAGTCATAAAAATTTGAAAAGAAACATAATCACTTTACGCTTAATGGGAACTCCATGTTAAGTATTTTATTCAAGAGAATGTTTGGAACATTAAGAGGGAGGGAATGACTTGTCTATTACCTCTCAAGTCATACCTACGCTAATGCTATAGGCAAAAATCAACAACTAAATCAACGACAAAACTTCATATCTAAAATTTTTATATATTTACCATATTGATATAAGCAACATTTGAAATTTTTGAATAAAAATTTTGACATCCAACTTTGTTTACCATTTTAAAACTATTTAAACCAGATGAAGCACAAAGCAAGGAATAAGAAAATAGACAAAACATGAAACAAAAAACATTCTATAATTTACACTCCTCAAGATCTAATTTACAGTTCACTAATTTGCAATTTAAAAAAAAAAAAATATATCTGAATTTTCAAATGCTTTATAAACAAAGAATATAAAATCAAGGGGAGAATGAAACTAGTTTTAACAACTAAAATTATACAACATATTGAATACAAACTTTCAACATTAATTTTGACAAAATTATGAGCAATGAAAAGAAATCTTACTGGGTTCCATATTCATAAAAATCTATGAGTAACTCTTTTATAAAATACTGAAGAGTAGTAAAAGGCTGTTTCCACAAAACTAAATTTTTTCGATCTTCTCTGACGGCAATCCATTGCTTGTGTTGACTGGATAATGAACTTGGATCATATTGCATAGAAAATACACTATCAAGTCCTCCATTAGACGTAACACTTTCATAAGACTTCCTCGATTTTACACTAGGATCTGAATTTTCAGACATCTTCACTTTATCAAATTTTTCTAATCGCTTTACCTGAAAGAGAGAAAATATAGGATAACTCATAAATGTAAGAAAAATAATCATTCACTCATTGCGAAGATTTTAAAATCAGTACAGTACAGAACACATTATCTGGAAATCAGAAAACCAAAAAACCGGAACGAAATTCAATACATTGTCCCGCAATTTGTTAAAAAAATTAATTTTTTTCATCATAAAATTTTAGGATTTTTCTTTCTTTTTTGAAAGATGTTTACCTTACCATCATTTTGGAAATAATCATTAGTGTATTACTTCATCGTTTTTTCTTCTTTTCAAGATTATTTCCAAATATTTTCTTTTTTAGTTAGGTTTAACAATATAAAAAAAAAAGGCTTTTTGTAGAGATTCAGAAAACTGGAAAAATCCGTCATCTGGAATAGCGATAGTCCCGATCGTTCCAAATAATCGGTTCCCTACCGTACTTTTATCAAAATAATTGTCAAATTCTGGCGACTTCTGGGCAGTGGTATGAACATAACTAAATAAAACATTGCAGGAGAACAATCTGAAGGGTTTGTATAACTCATAACCACCATCTACCCAAGCAATATTATTTTTAAAATTTTTGCAAAAAAAAAAAAAAAAAAAAACTGTTTGGGGTATTGGCAATTATAGTTGCGCAGACAGGTTGAAATATCTTCCAATTATGTATTAAATAACTATATAGAACAGTGGTCTGCAATCTCCTGCAGAGTTATCAATTTAGCTAGGCGAAGATAGTCCCCGAAAATGAGGAAAATTAAACATTCGAACTGCATTTGTTTGACCACAAATGACCACCTTTCAAATTTTTTTTTTCATCACCCTTATTTGACATAATTCTAAAAATTAAATTCAACGGCTAACTTTGTATTTTTACGCCAAATAAGTAAAAATTCAATTTTTATATTGTATACGTTTGACTACCTTTTAATTTTTTTTCTTGACTACCCTTCGCATTTTTACGCATTTATTTGGCGTAAAAATGCAAAGTAAGGCCCCAAATTTAATTTTTAAGATTATGTCTAAAATAAGGGTGGTAAAAAAAAAAAAAAATTAAAAGGTGGTCAAACGAATGTAGTTAGAGTTTTAGATTTTCCTCATTTTCAGGGGCTATCTTAGAGCAGCTTATCTAACTATCCCATCCCTAAATGTTTTTATTTTCTGTATTCAAGGATTATGCATCATTTAAAATAGAATATGACCACTAGCAAATTTTTTTTTTGTAAAGTTGGAAAAAAAAAGCATTTTTAAAACCAGTTATTTTTTTTGTTCATTTAAAAATTTTTTTAAATATTTAAAGACCCAAATTGGAAGTAACCAAACCATTAAAAAGCAATTCACTGACATCCCTTTTAACTATTGATTAATATTTTGAATAAAGAATTTAAAAACATTCACTTATGCTCCATAAATATGGAAACGTGATAAAACTAAATAATTAAACGTTTTAAATAAGCTTACCTCTTGACAGTTGGTGTGTTTTATATTTCTGCACTATTCACAATAGTCATTATTTAGATTTTGTACTATAACACAGTTTACAAATTGTAGCATTAATATCAATTATTTCGTGTTTTGTGTGTACCTATTTATTATTACAAATTTCAATGTAAAAGAACAGGGATATTCCAGACAATGCTTATTTTCAATTAAAAAAGATTTAAAATTAATAGAATGATGAAAAGGATCAAAATTGATAAATGGACTGTATAAAGATAAACGCATATAACAGTATAGATGTTTTAGTTCTGTTAGAAAAACAAAAACTAAAATACTTTTGAAATTTATTTTAACATGATTGATTTTTAATTTAGTAATTGCAACATTGTCTTATTGACATATCAACATTAAGACATATTGCAACTGCATTATTGACATATTGCAACTGTAGCAAGCATTAAGTATAAATAAATATACAAGTATATAAAAATAAAGTTTGTGAAATTTTAATTCTTTCAATTACATGATTTAGCTGATTTTAAAAACAGAACATTGAATTAATAATTTAACATTTTATTTTAAACATTTGTAGTGATTTTATCGTAAATGTATTCAGAAAGATTTAATTTACATAAACATTTTTGTGGAAACTAATTCCACATAAACATTTAAAAATTTTAAAATTATGTTTATTTAACATAAACTAATTCCTATAAGCCACTCAACTCAAAATTTTAAAAAATGTGAGAACATATTTTTTCTTATTTTCCAACAATTAAACTGAAAAAATGTATATAAATACAAAAAAATTTACTTATTAAATATAATTTTTAAAAAAAAGAAACAAAGATTGCTGTTTTAAAAAATAGCTTGGTTTTTTTATGTTGTTTAAACCAGTCAAGCCTGATTTTTTTTATGAAAAACAATTTAGATAAGACTCACTTGGAAAAAAAACGTGGCAGACTACTGATATGGAACAAATAAACAAGTTAATAAGAATATAAAAACAAATTAAGGGTAGTTGTAGGAAAAGAACATTTTAAACTAAATAAGTTTATTTTTAATTGGAAAAGATGTTTTGTAAACAACTTTTTTTTCCACAATATTTTTAATGCCTTAATTCACCAAAATTTTAATTACCTTGTTTTTAAAAATCGAAGATTTTTTGCAAGCAGTTTCTTGCTGGTGTTAAACTTTCTAATCTCAAAATGTTTATAAAGAATTTATATTTCCAGAACTAAAATTTCTTAAAAAGCTAATTAACTAGTTTATAATATCCTAAAACAATGCTTTGCAAACAGCTTCTTGTAAGCAGCAATAACTAAGAAAAAATTTTAAGATTAAAAATCATAGTCTAAAAAAATTAGTTCTCTGGAGTGTTTTAAAAATGTTACATTTTTGTAAAAATTTAAATTTAATGAAGCTAATAATATAACACAACAGATAAGAACTGATAGTGATAAGGTTTTTATTAATTATCTATGTTAAGTTTGAATTTATAATTTGTTTTTTTGGCTAATATTGAAAAAACATTTTACAATACACCGCAGGATAAAATAACTGGATCGAAAAAAAACAATGCTAATTTATTAAAATAATTCAAATAAAAAAATTAAGATCCTTTGTAGTTTAAAAATTAAACTATACAAATAACAGGTGTAATTAGTTTTTTCTACCTCTTGAATTTTTATTACTAACACATCAGGATGTGTTAGTAATTACAATTTATATAAAATTAGATTTCTTAATATATATATATACATTTAAATAAAAAAATCATATTTAAAAAAAAAAAACATAATATAAAACTGAAACTTATTTAATGCTAATTTCACGAATTTAGTAAGATAAACTAGCTTTTCACATTCCTTATAAATATCTCATAATTATTTGAGTTAAACTCAGGTGAACATTAGATTAATGCGGTCAAGGAATGAAAATAGAAAATTAAAGAGCCTGTTGGATAATAGAGAGACAATTGCTAATTAAACTTTTAAAAAATAGGTATACATATCCTAAAATAATGTACATTATTATATCAATAATGGACATTATATTAATAATATACATTATTATAATAACAGTGTACATTATTATAATAATGTCTTTTATTACGTAATAAAAATTTAAAAACTTTATAGCATTCAATATCATCTTAGCTTAGATACATAGTTCTTTCAAAATTGTCATTTTTCTTTCATATCATTTAAATTGTTATTAAATTGTAATACAACCATTAATTAGAAAAATATAGTATAAGAAATTTAGCTTTAGCAGAGCTATGTCACTGACAATATCCCTTTTAATGAATAAAGCAAGTGATAGGAAAGTTTTCAAGGAACTTAATAAACGTCAACATTTGATTCATCACTATTGCGACATCTTTCCATATGTGCTTTGTTAACTAATGTCAAATGAAACTTTAATAAAAAGAAGTATCTTCTCAAATAACTCACTGTATCTATAAGAGAATTAAAATTGGTGAGTTGACAAAATTTAATAAATAGAAATGTTTGCTGAATTACAGGACAAAAAATTATTAAAACACAAAATAACTTACGTAATTCGCAATACCTCAGATAATTAAAAATACAGTTAGTTTTAAAATTTACCTAATAGTCATTTATTATTAAATTAGTATAAATAAAATATTAAAAGTAACATTAAAAACATATGTAAAAAACAAATAAATAACTGTCATGAACTATACAAAATTAAAAAACAATTTTGCTTAGATATCTCAATATAAATATATTAAAAATACCATAAAAAAATTAAAAGTATATACTCACAACAAAATAAATCTATCGAAGAAATTAAATTAACAAGTGTTCGTAGCATATAAACTGAATTTTTCAAATAAACAAATAAGATACATCCTATTTACACTAAAACTGGAATGCTAAAGGGACAAAAGCTGTTGTTTGACAGTTATTAATCAAGCCATGTGAAATTAATCATACATTCTTCCGGTCAAAGTTTATTAAAGGACCAAAAAAAATTTAAATCGGAAGACACTTTCGAAAATTTTATCAACTTCCTCCGGCAGAAGATTGTACTTTGTGGCTATCTATCTGTTCCATAGCTCTCGCCAAGGATTCGCCACCAAAAACGCCGGTTACGCCGCCCTGCTGGCGACTGTTTAAGACTGACACGTCACCTGATTTTTCGAATCGACGTCATACCGAGTCGATTGAAGCGAAACAAAAAAGAAATTTATATCCTTTCCTCCTTTTTTCTCTCTCGATATTGTAGATAAAGATAATTGACGAATATTTCATAATAATCATCTGTAAAAAATGTGGTTTTAAAGCATATAATTATACTGTATTTTCCTGTTCACCGAGAATGCTTGATGAATACATTGTTTTTGTTTCGAATAATTATACAGTTTAGTTTTCGCTTTCTTTTTCTTTTTAGGACCGCTCTTAATGGAAATTTGAAGTGAAGTTTGAAACATTTTATTTATAATCGAAAACTTAAATTTATAATTATTATTTTTCGCATCTAGTATTTCAATGTAATCTTTTCTTTTTTAATATTTTATAATAAAAAATATTTATTAAAAA